GTTGTCCATATGAATGTTTAGTAATACAATTCTGTGTGGTTCCCATGTACTTTCTGTGCTCCTCGTGTGCTGTGTTTGTGACGCACGTCCCTTTGAGAACAGTACAAGGAAATTTTTGCGGGCCTGGTTAGGTCATGAGAAGAATTTTCCCTTTGCAATTCACAACGCGTACCGCTCCATGTTTTTACTAACAAATTAGTTTGGAGTTAGCTTCCTTTGCTTTAAGCTGTCTAGACTTCAAAAGTTCTTTTTCTATTTCACATTTCTCCTGAAGGCTTTAGTAAGTGCTATAAAATGCCTGAGTCCTTTTGTTTTTCTTGTAACTGTTTTAACAGTTATTAAGATGACGAAAATTCTAACCCTAAGCACTACACCACACAGCACAGCCTTATTTTTGATAGCATGCCCACTGAACGTCATCATTCGCTCTGACGAAGGGCAAACGCTCGAAACGTCAGCTGTCTGAACTCTTTATCGTGGCCAATTCACATTATAAACTCATTTGATAAAACGAAGCACAGCACCATAGTTTCTTTAGAGAATTATCCCCTTTATTCAGTTTTACGTGGGAAAACGTGATTTAAAAGTAAAGCATCCTATTTTGGGCTTGAAAACTCCACTATTGTATAACATGAGGGAAAACCGTGTGTGACCTGAAATGGAAGTGATATGTTCCTCGGCGGTCGAAATTAAGTTGCCTTCGTTAAATCACAAATGATGGGGATACATCGAATTCTCGTCTTGTTTTTGTGAGCTTAGTACCTTATAGCGAACTTTCAAGTGGTTTTGTGTTCTCTTTGCGTTCTCAATGGCCCACAGTGGCAAAGAAAAATCGCTAGTGTTTCTTTAGAGTTTAACTATTTGACTTATGAGGATTTAACCTATACTTGACACCGATAAATACGTGCATTTGGGACATTTTAAGGCATTTTGTCTCTCCTCAGTTCAGCTTAGAATCTTTTTTCGACGAATTAGAAAGCAATTACTCTTAATACCCTTGTACATACCAATCCTAAAGCTGAAGTTCAATTCCTCATTGGGGAATCGGATTTCCTTCCCCCACACTCGTCGAAAAATGTTTAAAACCTCTTCTTTGCTGGATTAATATTAACTAAATGCAAGATTCTGGAGTCGGATAACTTAAATATATTTTTCAACAGGCACTGACAATAAGGTCGCATTCGTTATTGCGTTTCAAAAGCCTTTTGTTATATCGAGAAAGTATATGCAATTCAATGAGAAAGACTTAGACAGCTTTCTACTGTTTGATTAATGATGTCTGAATAAATAATTCATGCTAACCTTAGAACGCCTGGTCCTTTTCTGTTAGTTACTGAGATATCATACATGTTATTTCTACTACTGCGTTCGAGGTTTATGCGTTCATCATTGCGGACGAAATTTCCTTTTCTGCGATATGTGTATGACTCGTGAAATTGTTATCGATTCAGTAACAATATATTAATTGTGGGATATCAAATCTTAGTATTTGGTCACTTTATAAGTTCCCTTTTATATATATAAAGGAAACGATGTGCAATTGGTTTGTACATTCCTACAATTTCAAACAGTTTGAGCACTTTGGAACAATTTATTGAAATATGGAACTCACCCACCAAACCGAAGGAATGCCATAGGATATAGCAAGTGCTGAGCAAGAATTTGATCATTTTCCAAGTGTTTCCAAATTGATCCAATGCATTCAGTTGTGCAGACCGGTTTGCTAGAGCGATCATGCATGCACTATGAATAATCTTAAGAGAGGTAAAGAGAGATATAAAACAACTATCGCAAAAGAACTACCTCAACAAAATTCAAAGGAAAGAGGAAAGACAGCCAAATTGATTTATGTTGCTGCTGGCATTTTTGCATTTTGAATGCATCGATTATCGCAGCAACAAAGAATTGGTAGTAGGTTAAATCACCATCGATTCGTGTTCTATAGAGATCATTTAATAAGCGGCTCAGGTATAGTGAGTCATAGTGATTCGAAGCAATATCGACTCGTTTTCCACAAGATATCCAGCTGTTTTTTAAAATCACGTGCTTTCACCATGAGCTTATATCACGTTGGTACAACACTTATTTAGTCAAGTTTAAAAAGTGATCAAACCTAGTCTCATTTTGCGAATTATCCATCTCTTTGGAAGGACAGTTTGATTTAAACAGTTCAATTGTCCATACGAATGTTTCGTATTGTAAACCTATTTGTGTTGCCCACGAACTTGCTATGCCCCTTGTGTGCTGGTTTTCTAGAGCAATTCTCCTCGAGGACATTACGAGGAGCTTTTTCTGGGTCTGGTGTAGAACCTTTGAGGGCTGTGCCGTGTGCAATTTACTGCTCGTTCCATTCTTTATTCCCACTACAGCAGATGAGTATGGCGTTAGTTTCCCAAGCTTTATGCTCCAGACTGTTAAGCAAAGTTTCCTTCCTGTTCTGTTGATCAACACCTACACTTTTGTGGTCTATATGGCATCTGAAGGTTTTTGAAAGGGTTTGAAAATGCCTGAGTCTTTTAATTACGCTGTTGACTGTCGATGTAAAATCCTAAACCTCTAGAAGACAGAGGCGTGCTATTGATAACACGAGAAGCCCACTGAACGTAGACAAACTGAATTATAGAGGAAAGCATCGTAATTTAGGGTTTGAAAACGCTACCATTGTATACCGTGAGAAAAGACCTTGTGGGGCTTGAAAGGCAGCTAATTTTATTCTCGCAGATCGAAATCAAATCACTTTTAAAGAAAACAACTGATGCGGAGACATCGACTTGTCGATTCATCTCAGCTCTGTACCCAATAGCGAACTGTAATGTTGTGTTATGGCCCATTTAGGTCAGTTTGACTGGCTCACAACAGCATAGTAAAGTGATCACTTTATTTTATGGAGACCAACTGTTTGACTCACAAGGGCCTTGCACCGACAAAAAAAAAATATTACAATAAATGAGACAATTTGTGGTATTTAGTCTCTCCTCAATGAAACTTAGTATCTTTTCTTGACAAATTGGTCAAGTGAACAACCCTTTTGATACTTAATTTTACAACATTTTTCAAAACATGCAGATGTTTTTTTTTTCTGTTATTCTTTGGACTAGTATATGAATTTTGCCACGATATGTGACGCAAAGGAGGTTTGGATTCCTTGCAAGAAGGCGTTTTTCTCTGATGTCAATGAGCCGGAATTTTTTTTTTGGATCACTGACTGACAAGCAAAATATCACACCATCTCTTCGGCCAGAAATGAACGATTATCCCGTGATAACAGGAGGTACAAAGGCCAACAGAAATTTGAAGATTTCAAAAGTTTACTGTTTCTAAAATTAATTTCAGCACTTATACTAGCTTAAAGACCTCGCACCATGACGCAACGAGGAATTTCTTCTGCAATCGTTGTTGTTGGCTTTTATCGTTGAAAGCTGATGACAATGACCATGCAGCATGGTACCGTGACGAATTAAAAATTTTCAGGACTGATCAATCGACGAATCATTAGAAGTTCACAGATTGTCTTGCAACATCATAACAATAGCTCAGCACGTGCGTTTCTAAACTTTGTACATTTCTTAGCCGTCCTCTGCAAAAAAAACAACGTGAAATTACAAATTTGCGCGGTTTAAGAGCGGAAACCCCGAAGGCAAATTAGTTAAGTTTTCATTTGGAACTCAACCCTACCTTCACACATTATAATTAAGTTGAGGTGTAGCGGCATGAGAGACAATAAAAAAAATCGGCCATTCGCGAAATTCATACTAAAAATATAAATTCATTTTTTTAATCGACATCTTCCTCTGCGTTGCCTTCCTGAGTGGTTTAGTCCCCTATTGTTTCTTTGGATAAACTAGACAAAAACATCCGGTTCTAACAATTAAGAATTTAAGTGGATTTTCTTAATAGAATCAGCGTTGTCGATCTCTAGTAAACTTGGAACATATGTTTTCGATTATGACCTCCCCATCCGAGAATAACAAAAGGGTCGCGAAAATTTTATTAATTGAGAGTTTTTAAGAATGTCCTTGATAATGAGGGGATTTGTAAATAACACTTAGCTGGGGTAGAAAAAAAAAAAACAAACAAAAAAGGATCAAGCCAAGAATAAAACAAAACAGAACTTTCCCTCCAACGGAGGGCTCACGCTCGAAATGTCACCATAAAAACTGTTTACGGCGGCCAAGTCACATTCTTAACTCAGTTGAAAAAAAAAAAAAAAAAAAAAAAAAAAAAAAAAGGATGACCAAAATAGGGAAGATTGACACCGAGTGCAAATTACGCACGAGCTATTATTTATTGGCGCCGGGGAGGGGTTTATATTAAAATTTACCTGATTTCCCCCATCCCCCCGAAGGCTCTGAATAATTCCAATGATCCCCCCTCATTGGCAGTCAATTTTCTATAGTCCCCACTTTACACTCTGTTGGTGACCCTCCCCTCCCTCTCCGTTCGCCCTGAAAAACCATGTGACCCCCCAATTTACTTCTTTAACCCGTTGCAAAGGTTAGAGGGTATGACACTTATTTTCCTGTTTAAATCCTCCCCCCCCCCCCCGGCTTAAATCTGAGCAGTTTCGAACAAATTTGGACAAACAGTAGAGACAAAGATGCCCGAGGGGAAGATGGTGGAGGGCTTTGGTTTCCCCAACCCCTCACCCTTAATCTCTTTGCTCGCGCTTTCTACAGTTTTTTGCTCTTCTCATTAGAGTACGGATGAAAAGTGTTCTATATATCCCGAAGCAGCCCCAAGCCCCGCACACTGAACTTCTCTCGTTCCTAGTTCCTAGCAAGGAGTGACAATTGCACTGAGTGATGGGCCCATGAAACTAACCTGCATAGGATCTTGGGAAGAGTTGTGGAGAAGCGTTGACTTTCACCATTGCAAACTGCGGAAACCCTCCTCGTGCTGTTTAAATAGGGAAAATTTAAATCCTTTCTAAATTCCCAAGAAAGAGAACGTAAATCTCTTTGATGTATTAATGTGTGTTTCTCCTTTTATTTCTTTGGCAGTTCGGTTATGGAGCCTTCACTCCTACACAAACGTGGTTGCGTACAAAGGACACAATTTTCCCGTGTGGGACCTGGACATCAGCCCACAGTGCCTCTACTTTGCAACTGGCTCCCAAGACCGCACAGCCAGGCTGTGGAATCTAGAGTACACATTTCCTTTGAGAATCTTTGCTGGACATCTACAGGATGTGGATGTAAGTTTGTGGAAAAGCACTTAAGTTGACTTTATCATTCCTTTTATAGAAAAATTCAATGTAGATGCAAACATACTTTATTATAGAAATACAAATGAAATACCAGGTGAGTTCTCACCAAAAACGTGATATCTTCACACGTGAAAATAACACCGTTACCATGGTTACATAATGACTCGCGTCTTTTGCAGCGAAAGTGAAATAGTTTGGTTTTTCATTGGTATCTATATAATAAATGGAATGTTACATAGCCGCTTAACGATACGAAATTTCCTTTCTCGTGTTAAAAAAATATTTCAAGGAGAGATTTCGTGTCTCCGCACGGCCATATAATATTCTCTATTTACGAGAGGAGTGGTTCACAGTCAAGTGGTTAACCCTTTATACCCTAAAATCAGTATTCATATTGTCCATACTGCTCTCTATTCATTTCCTAAGGTGCTGATAAGGAGAATTTGTTTACCAGTCAAAAGATTCTTTCGTTGGTGATCAATTATTTTATTCTCATGACCTTAACGTTTAATTCAGGGCTGATATTGTGGGGAGAAGTTGATGCTGGTCACTCTTTGGGTTTAAAGAGTTAAGCGTGCACAAGTATCCAACGCCAGGCACTGGGTCGGTAGAGGCGAGCAGAAGAGCGAACGCGCGAAAATCGGTGGGGTCTGGAAAGTAGTAACGTCACTCCCCTTCGTCCATCTCGTTTTTCTAAGGTTCGCTTTTTTTTTGCTTGTTCCAGAAACTTATTACCTGAAACAGGTTTATGTAATATTGAAACTTCACTTCTCAACGTCTTGTTCTTGCAGTGTGTCAAATTTCATCAAAACTGTACGTATCTCGCTACCGCCTCATCGGACCGCACTTGTCGCTTATGGGACCTACAGTCTGGAAACTGTGTCAGACTCTTCACAGGACACAAGGTATGTGCGCCTAACAAACATTATTAGGCAGCATATACCTAACTGTCATCTCAGCGGCCAATCAGAACAACGGAAAACCTCGAAAGTGACCAATGAGGACTTACAACAACTACACGCATCAGAGCTCAAGCGCGGGAAGACGCGGGTGGCCAAGCCACGATCGGTTTTATATCTGCATGTGATTGGTTTTGAGCTGGTACAAGTATTCTGGACCAATCACAAAGTGAAGTGAAACAGACCAATCAAAATTGAAAAATGCGACTTAGGGAATGTCTGTAGATCGGGATTTAGGGAACCGTTGCAATGATTTCATTAATTTCTAGGAAATTGTAACAAAAAAAACAACAATAACAGCTACTCCACCTTTTTAAAAAGTGGTACTCTTAAATCCTCTGGTTGGTGTGAAAGGGGTCTTAAGAGTCGTGGAAACTAATTTCTTTGGAGCTCCACACGTAGTGAAAAAATGACGCGGAAAATGTCCGTTGCTACCTGTTTAACAAACGTTTGCGGACCTGCTATTTTCATTTCTTCCAAATTTGATTTTTTCCCCACGGAAAAGTGTAGCTCAAATATCTCTTTATTTATTCATCCATTTATTTTTTTTTTTTCACTGCTTGCAGAGTTCAGTTTATGCTTTGACGATTTCTCCGGACGGCCAATACCTAGTCTCCGCTGGGGAAGACCGGCGCATTCGTCTGTGGGACTTAACCGCAGGCAGTATGATTAAAGAACTACGCGGGCACACCGATACTGTGTACAGCCTCGCTTTCAGTGCAGACGGTACACTACTATCGTCAGGAGGACTGGATAACAGTGTTAAAGTGTGGGACTTTGGACAGGCGGTGAAGACTTCAAGTAATGGCAGTTCAAGTGTCTCTGTTTCACCAGAACTCATGGCTTCCTTTCCGACTAAGAACTGTTCAGTTCACTGCGTACAATTTAGCAGTTGTAACTTAATTCTGGCGGCCGGTACGCAGTCTCCCTGACGGAGGGGCAGAAAAACAGGACAGGAAACAAGCTTGAACACGCACAGATTATTTGAAGTCAAACTAATTTTATTGACATAATTCATATTTTGGATTTACTTTTCAATCCTAGTTAATTTTCTGTACAAAATCGATTTGGATTATATACATACAACAATATAGAAACTTACACAGACAAAAATAATTGAGATTGATTCTAGCTAACAGAGTTTGTTTATGAATTAATTGCACATCCAAGTTTTTTCTTACAAATAGCTTTACAAACCAGATAATATGCATACAAATCTTAAAAAATTAAACATAATTCAGGCAAACAATAAGCACATCCACACAATTGGGGTTTTCTGTTGGTTTTCTAACCTTTTTTCAGCCAATGAAATACCAGCATGCAGTTGCTGTTCGTGAACTTGAGTTTTGATTGGCCAAAAAGAAAAAAACCAACAAAAACATATGACTGACTACAGCACTTGATAGCAGCACTGACGCTGACATAGATGTACCAAAAAAAAAAAACAAAAACAAAAACAAAAACATCACACAGAGGCAAGCAAGCTGGAACAGATATCTTTTTCCTGAGTAAACTGAATTCATTGCATCATCTAGCATAAGTCTATTTCTAACAAAACAAAAAACGTTTTTCAATGGCTCACAACGAAAATGATTTAACATGTGGCTTATGTACGAACACATTCAAAAGATTCTTATTTTTGTAAAGAAAACAAATACTTGAAACAATGGAAAATACTTCAAGCTATGTTTTACTTAATTCATTTTTACATCATATGTTGGATTGCAAAATTAAATAGTATCTTTAAACTTGAAAAGCTCCTTTCTTGTTATATAGCAAGCCATATAAGCAGAATGAACCATTTATACCCAAACAAATATCTTACTTTTTTTCTTTTTTCATTTCCAAACAGAATATTTAGTTTAAAAGGACAGCGCATTTGTAATCAAACAATACAAGCTTGTGATTTCTTATGGCCAGACACCCATGCTGAACAAAAATAAATTGACAACCTAAAACCATAAAGTAATGATAGCTATTTATCAAATGACTTAAGATCATATGTCAGATAGATACATAGGTTGTGAAATATTGAATGCAAAGATAAATTTTGGCTGGAAAAAACCATAATGCAAATCACTTGTCTGTTAGGCTCCAAATGTCAACATTAACTACACCATTATTGTTTATTTTTATATAAGGGACAAATACCTACATAAAATAATTAAAGTAAAAAATACATTTCTTACTGATAAAAAAGGAGATCCTGAAAAGTATATCAATCTCATCAATAACCAAATTACTTTTCAAAAGACAACAATGAATTCAAAAGAAAATTCTGATTATTGAGGGCCTATTTGCATTGGCAAAAAGTTGTATGTTTAGACAAATTTTCTGTCATCACTAGCACTTTACAGGTGCAGATGGGTTGTCATGACTTGACAAATCTTGGCTGAAGCAAAAAAATTGGGCAAAACTGACCAAAGAAACAATGCCGATAGATACCAATCAATGATAGTCTTGTATATCATTTATCATAAAAGCTACCATCAGCATGGATTTACGCTTAGTTTACGCAGTAATTAAAGTTTGAATCCTTTCGCAAACTATGCCAGCTGCTCTTACGAGCAGATTAGTCACTGACAGAAGGAATTTGACAGCTTTGAAATCTTTAAAATGGACCCAACAGATGAGACAAATATTTGTCATGACAAAATTTTGTGCCTTGATTTTGACAAGACAATTCTAGTTTTTTCCAATAATACAGAAAGGTGGTTAGGGAAAAAAACTAATTTGCAATGAGGTCACATCAAAACTTAAGTGACTTAGTATAGAAAATCATTAAATGTTTTCATAAGAGAATTAAAAATCCACTATTTAGTATCCCTTTAAATACCAATTAATAACAAAGCAGATACAACTGATGATGGGAACATATGGAAGGTGATTAATTTGGAAACGATATCATTAATTAAGTTTGTAACAACTCAATTTCAAATGAAAACAAACTCACTCAAAATCTGAAAGATGTTCCGTGCAAGAAACAGCTAACTAACCTCTGAAAAAGAGCTCAACTGAAGCTAAATTCTGCAGATCATATATCTCAAACAGCAACCTGGCCCACTGAAATTCAAAACCCCAAAAAGAAGAATTTCCCTCATTGTAATGAAAGAATGCTCATTGTAGGGGTGTGACATTACAAACACTTTCCTGTGTCAACATCCCTTGAAATTTTCCTGTAAATCACCAATTCCCCCCCCCCTCCAAAAAAAAAAAACCTAACTAAATAAATATATAAATAAATTAATGACAATTATGATAATTTAGCTCCATCCTCTGACAGGGCTGTCAAGGTACATGGTTTGTAAGGGTACAAAGAAAAGTCTGCTTTGACCCTCAACCTCCTAACATCCAGCAAAGCTTTCTTGGAAAACCAGGATCCAGAATTTACAATGAAGGTGGGAGATAAAATATTCTCTAGGATAGAAAATGGAAACCAATAAAGGAGAACAAATTTCATACACTCAAGTAATCAATTTCCAATCCCTGATCTCTGATTCCAGCTTCCCAATCCTGGTCCCTCTTTTCCAGGAAACTTCCATTTTAAAGGTGATAGCAGAGAGATTATGCTGGAGATTAGGTATGTCGTAAATTGTTGAAATACCAAATTCTCCTCACCAACAGTGAGGAATTGTAGGGAGTCAAGAAAGGGGAATTGATAATCAAATGTTAAAAGGAAGATCTTCAGCAATGAGCATCCTTGTTACATAAAGGAGAAAATTCCCCTTTCAATAGTGGGGAAGAATTTTGTCTAATTGCAATAATTTTTGACTAGTTCTTTTGCCACATAGGTGGCTACCCATTACACAGCATGAAGCAATATTCTATGAATATTTCAAATTTACGTGGCACTATACAAAACACTCTCCAAAAGGAGACGGCATAAAATAATCATTGCAAAGCACAATGAGGCAATAACTGAGCGCATACAACAACTTTGCTCTCACAAAAAAAACACCCTGACCACAAAAAAGGTGTGAATCCAGCACATTCAAACTAAATAGTAATTAACTGTAATAAACCTCTCTTTGAAATCCTTAACCATGATATCAAACCCCATTGATAATAAATTTTCAATTATGAAATAAAAGCACTTTTTGAACCTAGGTCCACTATTAGAAACACTTTGTAAGGAATTTACAGGGATTTGTCAAAAATCATACAAACAAATCATGCAGAGCTTCCAGGAGAAAAAAAACCCCACAGCTTTACCCTCACAGATTCCACCAAAAGTGCACTTGCAAGGCTGCTCAAATTTGACGTATCTGTATTCACTTATTCTAATGCTGTGACATACCAGAACATTCTTAATAAATCATTTTTCTACACCAATTCATGAAGCACAAATTTAACATAACCACTCCTAGAAACCTTTAATTAGGTTCAAAATTTAGCTTCGACAAGAAAGTCTCTACCTTCACACCCTAAAAACGTTGCTGCAAAGACATTCATTAAAAATCAAAAGGTAATTGTCATTGACCTTGTGAGGGCCAAACATGGCTTAATATTTGCCAAGGTCTTTTAGTGTAACTGAACTACAGTAGACAAAGACAAAGCTGTGGTCTACAAAAACTCAAATTAAGAAGTTGACAGACACCAAGGAATTTTGACTGAACAAGCTTAGGGAGCCATCCAGTAACTGAATGAACTTAGTGTGTATTGTACCACACAACAAGTGAATGAGAATTTTTGCTCCCACTGATTAGCTGGCTCAGAAGTGATTAGCAAGTACTATTCATGTCTGAGCAGCCATGGACATAAAATTGCACATGAGGAATCTTTTCCCACAATATTTGGGAATAACGACAAAAAGTAAACTAATTGTCTAGTTTCTGTGTGGTATTTATTTGCTATTTGTCTCCATTTGGGTGAAAGTACTGGATGTTTACCTCCCCTTTGGTGAATAATGATTACCGTAATTATTTAAACCTAACCATTGTCTCCACTGCATGATTCTGTGCTCTCCGCCAGGATTTCGCCTGTGAGGTTGGATTTATTCAAAGTTTGCCCACCCTGGCTAGCCTTTGCGGTAGCATCATGGGACAGATTATGCCCCAGCTCTGGTGATAAATCACAATTCTTCTTATTCCCTGGATCCTGGTCTTTGTCCCTGGAAGTACTGGTATTATTGTTGGTGTTTGACTGTGTCATACTGCTGTCATCCACATCAAATGGCTTGTCACGGGATTCATGCACGTGCATGTTATGTCGCCGTAGATCACCTTAAGTTTAAGTGGCAAGAGAGTATTAATTAAGCACTGTCTATGATCCAACTGGCTTATCCTTCCCTAAATGGGATGATACTCCATTGCATAATTACCCAAAGCATTTAAATGGGCTTGCTAGACACCTTGCTGGTACTCATTTATACTCCTGGGTGAAGAGAAGTACTGTGAGAGTTAACCCTTAAACTCCCATGAGTGACTAAGACAGAATTTCTCCTCACAATAACAATACAATCACCCGCATAAGTGATGAGAATAAAGAAAAATATCAATTTGGGGATTATTAGTTGATCCAATACTAAATTCTCTGAACTACCAGTAACATTTTATGAGAATTGTATGGTTGACAGTAAGGAGAATGAGAAACTTGATCTTGAAGTTAAAGGGTTTAGTGTTTTGCCCAAGAACATAACACACTGACCCAGCCTGATCTTGGACCCAGACCTTTTGATTCAGTGTCCAGCGCACTACATCAGTAAGCCCACTGGATCAACTTTTTCTGGTGAAGGGAGAGTCATTGAAAGGAGATTAATTTTCTGACGACAAAAATTCCTGATAAGGACTTAATAACCTCAAATGTAATAAAACATTTCTTAGGTCATTAATCACTGGGTTGATAATTTCTTTTAAATAAAGTTGATAAAAACACTTTTGTGATCACTCATCCACCTCAAAAGTAAAAAATGCACAGAGATCACAGGCATAGGTCAGATATTTAGCCAGATATTTAGCTAGTTCTCACCTGATCTGTTGAAAGACTTAGGACAATGGTCACATGCAAAGGGACGCTGTTCTGAGTGAGTCACAATATGTCGTCCCAATTTGCTTGAAGTGGCAAATGTCTTAGGACAGTGGGGACATTTGTGTGGCTTCTCCCCAGTATGGATGTAAGTATGTGTCTTCAAAGATATTGTGGTGGCAAAACTCTTCTCACAATGCTTACAATGGTAAGGGCGCTCACCTGTGACACAACGAAAAGAAGCCAGTGAAAACTACATAAGTTTCCTAAAAAAAAAGGGGATTCCTGGTGTGACCAAGTACAATTAAACATTCATGTAATCCTTGAAGAAGCTTGATTAGATGCTAGCCTTTCGGTTTAACCCTTTCTCTCCCAGATGTGATTAACATTTAACTTCTCCCACAAATATCCATACATTATCAAACAAACAGGTAATAAGAATACACAAACTAATCTGGCAGAAGATGTTCTCTTGAACAAACAACAAATTCTCATACCTAATTAACATGGTAATGTGTAGTAGCAAGAGGAGAGAATTAGCAATCAGATTTTGGGAGTTAAGGATTAAGTGTCAAAAATAGAAGGAAGCTACATGATCACTGAAGGATATTTCAAGTGATTTCTGGTGCAGTCAATAACAATCTACGGTTTACTTGCTACAGATTTTTCTTGATATAACAGGGGATGGTAAACTTCCTTTAGATGCCCCTGGCTATTGGGTTAAATTTCTCTTCAGTTCTGAGTTGTCAAATGATGAGCTACACTCTCTCTTGTAGTGTTCAAATATTTTAAAACCCTTCAACTCCCACGAGTGACCAAGACATAATTTCTCTTTACAACACTTATACAATATCAAGCAGACAAGGGATGAGAATAAAGAAGGATATCAATTAGGGGAATTTTGGTCAATCCAAATTCTCCAAACTGACATCATAATAACTGCATGATAGACAGTAACGAGAATTACTATAGAGAAAAAAATTAAAGGTTAACTACAATGTGTAGTTCCAGAAAATATCCATACCCCCACCACGGAGGGAATTTCATATAGGACCCCCCACCCCTTCGGATTTTCCATTTTGGGGTAGCAGTGGTAGCCCCCCCACCCCTCTGGAATTTCCAAAGAATTTTCTACCACCCCCTATACCCCCTGGAAATATATTTTTTTCTCATAGCAAACAACAAACAAGAGGGACGTGTGATTTTGTCGCGTGTATATTCGAGAGATGGCGTACACGCGCAAGGTAAACGTCGCTAACTAGCTTAAACTTAACGTTTGTTTTATTTTTAAATACAATACTTATCCTTAAACATTTAACACAGTATTTTCAGTAGACGAAAGGAGAAAAAAACCGTACAGGTCGCAACAAAACACTTTTGAACTGTTAAGTTTGTACAATGTACTGAGAAAATTGCGTGCACTTGAAATGGAAACGTTCGAAATCACATTAAGCAACGTAAATTTGTACAAAATTGTGTCATAAATAAGAGAGCAAAAGAGAAAACCGAGTCAGCAGTAAGTTATTTTGAACTCATCTTTCCAAATTCCAGCCTCTAATGTAAAATTTCTTCACACAAGCATTGATTCTTGTTAACAGCGGGTCGATAATTTCGTCCCATAAACAAACCTTGGCTAGTTACCAGTCCCACGCGCATATATACAAAGCCCTGCAGGATCCTAATGTTTCTCAATGTTACTATCAACTGTTTTCGACTACGGTACGCCTGTACTTATCATTCATTGTAACATTGCAAGCAAGTAAGCCATAAAGAAATCGTCAAGTCTCCTACACATTATGATGCAACAGAATTAAGCTCAGTGCAGATCAAAATTAAGAGATGGCTGGAGTCAATAAGGGGTAGCGAATGGTAAATTTATGCGAAACTTTGCGAGACGGCGAGACCAGCGTTTTTTTTTTTTTGCGAGACCGAAACTTTTTGAGTGTTTTAATTGCGAGACCAATGTTAAGACCCCAAAACGGCTTTGCAAACAATTCGAGACTGTGAGACGTTTTGAGTCTTTTGAACCGCTCAAAAAACGAGACTGCAGGATCGATCTGTGAGATTTAACTTAAATTTAAAAAAAACAGCATCAGACAGTTATTTGTATATTTTATGAACGCGAAACATGTTATGACCGAGGGAAATCCCTAGGTAACCACTCCTGTTGGTTGTAATCTTTGAAGACTGGTAACGAGTAATGGCGGCTCCGTTCGAAAAACAAAGTGATTCTCTTCTTTATTTGATGTTATTTATGTTCCAAAGCGCTACAAGGATAGAAGAAAACTTTCTTTGGCTGCAGAACTGTTAGAAGCATCGTAATTTAACAACTTAAACTTCAGAACGTCCCACTAAAGTAAGTAAGTGGCGCCAATTGACATACGAAGAAAGTCGATCAACTTCCTACCCTCTGGACGAAAATTTCGCCTCTTACCCCCCATCCCCTCTGGAATTTCCTGGGACTTTGTCCCCCCCACCCCTCTGGAATTTCCAATTCCCTCCGTGGTGGGGGTGTGGATATTTTCTGGAACTACACAATAAGAAATTACCTGAGTGTATTCTGCTGTGTCTCCTTAGGTCATTGGAACTATAAAAAGCCTTTGGACACTGAGAACATTTATGTGGCCTCTCCCCTGTGTGGGTGTAAATGTGCTGCTGGAGACCAAATGGATGGCGAAATGCCTTGTCACACATAGTACATTTCCACTTCCTGCAACTCATGTCTGGACACACGCGCTTGATATGTCGTGCCAGATAGCTGAGAGAGGTAAATATCTTGCCACATTTACCACAAGTGTAACCCTCTGTGTAGTGGAAAAAAGAGAAAATAAAATTTGAAAAATAATAAAGAAAATGATAATTAAAGGCTTAACCCTTATACCCCTGAGAATGACTAGCATCTAATTTCTCCTTACAAGATAATCCCTGAAGCACACTTTAAGGTCGCAGGAATAAGAGAAATGATCACTAACTAAAGATGTTCCTGATTGTTAAACAAATTCTCCTTGTCAGCACTTTAGTAAATGTACAGAGAGGAGTGTGGAGAATATTCATACTGATGTTAGGGTGTAAAGGCTTCAGAAATACAACTGACAGCATTTCCTATGTGTTGAAAGTTCAATTTAAACTCCTGAGTGGACATATGTAATCTTATCTGTGGACAACTTTATTAGAGACAGCCCAACATGAAAGAAAATAGTCTATTATTGAGGGCAAAGTTTGCCGTTTATCAATGGTTACTTAAAACTTTAACTCCCCAAAGTGATTAACATTTAACTTCTTCCTATAGCATCCATATTTTATCCACCAAACAGGTCATGAGAATACTCTGCAAACCAGAGTAGCGTCAAACTATGTCTGATTGTCCACCTGGTTGCTGTGTGAACTTTAATATATTCTATCAGGTAGAAGTTGTTTATCTCTATCTAACACCAAATTCTCGTAACTAGTTTACAAAAAATGTGTGCTTGTCAGAGAGGAGAATTAATGATCAGATCTTGAAGTTAAAGAGTTGAGGCCCAACTTTATTCCTTAATTGATTTCTTATTCTCTCATTACCTTGCTGTATCCAAGATGTAAATTTTTCTGTCAATTTAACAACACTCTTACCTCTGCCAATTCTGTTGTATTTTGGGTCAACATCTACATCTCCAACACGGAACACTCCCTTGCTGGTGAAAACAACCTCATCATCATGCTCATCTAGGGACTCATCACCTTCTCCTGCTGGTGGAGTGGAATCAGATGCATCTAATCCATCCTGTGAGCTGATGCTGAGAAGTGCTGACACAGCCTGGTGCAAATTGAAGTCTGACTGCTTGGTTGCACTTTGCTTCTCTGATGAGTCTGATGGCTGGTTGCCATGACTCTGCAACGCAGTATTCACCATAACACCTTTTGATTTGTCAATCCCAGCAGATTTGGAAGCTGGTACAGGTTCATTTGTCAGTAGGTTGTTCAGACTGGCTGTCCGTTTCAGTTCCACAGACTTGGTCCTCTCGTGAACAAACTTCTTCACAGCCTGTTTGGCACTCACTGGTGCAACTGTTGTTGTTGTTTTAGTAGCTGAAGTGGTTTGCACAGTGGTAGCACACAATACTGGTGTCGTACTGGATGTTACTGGCTGCCTGGCACTCAAGGTAGTTGTCACTCCTACATTACCCAACTGAAGTGGAACACTTCTGGGTAGAACAACTGGAGCAATACTTCTTGGGATCTGCCCCATGACAGTTGTTGGCAGAATCTGAGCAGCAGCACTTTGCAATCCACCTGGAAACACAGGTGTTGCCCTCTGCTCACGGGGTAGAATTAGCCGTTGGCTACTAACACTGACAGACTGAGGTGCTACCTGTGGGGCAGCCTGACTCACTCCTGTTGTTTTCCCTAATGTAAATATACTTGTACTTGTAGAGTTTAGTGTGGTCTTTGGAATTCCCAATGCCTGAACACTAGCCACACCAGAGGTAAAAGGTAATGGTGTATGACCTTCAGTTTGAGGTATCAAGTTCCTAGCTCTGACACCAGTAAGTGTCTGGGGGCTTGTCAAATAGACAACAGGTGTTGCTGGTTTGATGTTCCACAGCAAATTAGCAGTTGACCGTGAGCCAACACAGCTGACAACATTTTCCATTCCTTTCAATGGCTGTTGTGGATGAGCTCGTTGAGCATTGCTGCTTGGTGGCAGAGATGGAGCTGGGTTTTGTGCAGTCATTGATGTTTGGATATTTGAGGGCACCACTGGTCTACAAAATAGACCCTGAATATTTTGCATTGCAGCTGAATTCAAAATCCTTGGTCCCAAGACATTTGACCCTGGTGGATTTGTTGGGCAAGCTCCTGTTAAACTTGGGCTTAATTGAGGTGGTGCCACTGCAGCTGCACTCAACTGGGATGTTACCTGACTGAGATTCAACAAGTTCTGCTGTACATGAGCCACTTGTTGCAGGCTTGCTTCGATATTTGCAGGAAATCTTACAGTTTGTTGTGGGAAAGGACTCTGCACAACAAGACCTGGCTGAACTTGTGGTACTACCTGGCTCTGTGAATGTGAATTACTTTCAACCTGTGACAAAACTTGCTCACTTGTTAAGGTAACATTTTGTACTGATGCAGAGACAACATTGCTGACCAAGCTGGGCTCCTTAGAAGAGGAATTGTTTACAGAGTCAGGATAAGTATTTGAGGTGACTTCATCTTGAGACTTTCCATGTGAAATGTCACCTTCTTTGTTATCCTGACGCAAAATGGTAGGATTGGTGCGGAAGCTGACCAGCGCCTCCGCAGCCTGTGAAAGTTTGACTTGCTCAGATTTCCCTGTTGTTGGCCTCTCTGGACATACGGGAGATCCTAGAGGAGACTTTTCAGAGTTTGGACGCTTCCTTTTTGGCTCACTTACAGAACAAGAAGAATTCGATTTCCCTGGAAACAATGTCGCATCTTCTCCAGTCTTTTTCAATTTATCCACACTTATTTTCATCTTTTTCGATGGCAAGCCAGGGATCAAAGACTTTAGTTTGTCTGCTGTCAGCTTGAGAAGCAATTCAGCAGCAGATGAAACTGTAACTTTGCTAAATCCTGGGCACTTTTTTAGTTCAGCAAATAAATGATCAAACACACCAATCTTCTTCTCAGACAAACTTCCACCATTTTTGAAATTATTAGTGCGTTTTCTGCTTCCAAGAGGAACATCTTTCCCCTTTGTGGTTTCCCCATTTGATTCATTCACAGATTTAACACTTTTTGAAGTACCTCTAGTCTTAATCGGTTTCTCACCTTCTGTCTCACTTGTTTTGGAACTGGATTGTTTCAGTTCACTTGACACTGTCCCTCCTACAAAAAGCTCAGCCTTTGCCTTGGTAGTATTTTGTTTATTGTTTATAGACTTTTCCTTACTGTGAGCAAAATTCTTGTCAACTTTCCTTGGAGTATTTTGCACTTCATCTTTCAAAGTCTTTTTCTTCACCCTTTTGTTCCTTGATTGAGTTTGAGCTAATGTTTTGTTTACCAAACTATCTGCACTTTTGTTCAAATCTGTGTTTTCTCCTTGATTCTTGTCATTTTTTGATGTCAGTGATCGCACTTTTCTTTTCTTTTTCTCCATGGGTTTGCTAACTTTGCCATGTTGTTTTTTTGTCAGTTCAAGATCTTCCCCATCTGAATTGCTTTCCAATGATTTCTGCGCAGTTGATGTTTTTCTTCGAGTTGGAACAGTTTTCTTGGATGTCTCAGAGGCTGTTGACTTCTTGTTTTGATTCCCCTTTTGTGTTTTGCTGACAGACTCATCTGATTGAGTTCCTTCACCTGTATTTTTGACATTAAAGACACTTGCAGCATCCTCTGTTTTCACTTTTTTTCTCCTAAGAGGTAAGAAAATAAAATAAATGAATAACAAGACAATCACAACCAAAGGCATCAAAGAAAATGTTCTTAGGGATGAAAACTTACGTGCTTGCTCGTTTCCCATTGTCAGGATCACATTCTTTGGACTTCTGTGGAAATTTGGCAAAATGATTAATAATACAACTACAAAAATAGTAATTTGTTTACTGGGCTAGCGCAGTAAAAATTGTGCTCAACTCAGACTGAAAAGAAAAGCACAGAGACTGACCAAAAAATTGAAATATTAGTCTAAAGGATTGACTCTATAAATGAAGAGCACATCACACTTATTTCCTCTCAACTGGTATCTTGCCTAGGTGAGTGACAAATCCAACCAACTTGTATTTAATACAAACAGCCATAACTTTTCAACTGCCAGTGATAAGTACTTATAGCAAATAAGCTACTTGTTGTCTGATTATCAAATTGAAGTGACCGCCACCCATGAAGTGTGACTTCAAATGATAATTAATTAATAAATGCCTGGTGGGCATCTGAAGGACTCTTGCTAATCACTCTAAAAGCATAAAACCTGTCTGTGTAGCAGTTTATTTTGACCACAAAAACCCACACTGAAATTAATTAAGACAAAATAACCCAAACTGAGACCAGACATTACTTGACCTCTGAAACATAATGGAGCAAATTCACAACTGCAAAGCCAAGGTAAAAAAAACAAGAGGATTATCATACAACTTGTGTGCAACTGGTCCAAGGGCACCAACATTTTTTGTCTAATCTTCTGAAGATGACAAAAGGTGTTTACCTTTACCTCCAAATGACCATAACTAATATGATAAAAGGCCATTTTGCATTTAGGTTACAAGAGATGACTTTTTTACATTCTTGGACAACAAAATCTTACATGACAATTTCAAATTTATGTTAACAGTCAGCAGTGATTGACAAAATTGGTGAGGCAAAAGTATATCATAACAGGAAAATATTTTAAATTATTCAACATATTTTTCTAAATTGTTCACAAATTCTAAGACTTTGAGGTCAAAAGAAATCTTTTAACTCTTAAAAATGTAATTTAAGGGATGAAAAGGAGAAAAATGACCTTTTTAAATAATTCACTCTTAGGTTTTGTTTTGACTCATTATTTAGTCTTGGAGTCTAGCCAGAGTTGTTAGAAATGTCCTGGCTTCCTCTGATCTCTGTTGCTTTTCTAGTAAACAGGGTTTACTACTGAAAAAAAAACAACTACTAATGGAAACTCCTTTCATATCCAAAATCTTCCTTTGTCTAAGGTACTCTTACAATAAATCAGACAAAACACATCATAACGAAAAATTATGTGTTCACATCCACATATTATACACATCAAGAGTGTTCAGTTCTTGCAAAAAAAAAAAAAGAAAAAAAATCTGGCAATTAGCCAAGAGGAAGCTAACTTCTTGAGTATTGTCTGTGCAGGTGTGAAAGAAATTTTAAATGTGATAAGGGTCTGCAACGAAGGCTTGTGCGTAAATTATTCTTAAAACACCAAAAATAGTCGTACCTTTATCAAGAAAAATTTTGAACGATGTTATTTGGGAAATTTTCAGAAAATTACAGCGACAAAAGAGAAAATATTTCAGGCCATGCGAAGTGATCTTCAGAGTGAAAATTGAATCGACTGATTCTCTTCGCAGTAAAGAAAATTAAAAACCAAAGACAGTTTGCTTGCATAATTACATATCGCATGTACAAGTGTTTAACATTTCGAATGTGCTCCTACAAATGTCTAAAAATTTTAAAAACTATTGTTACTTGAAAACTGATTTGTACTTTATCTAACTTCGACACAAATTATGGGTGTCTTAGCGGGCTACGTGCAAAAAAAACCATTTTTCCCCATGGTCGCAAAATAAATTTTCTACTTTCAGAAGAACTCATCGCACACGTGGGCAACAGTCGAGAAGAGATTCCATTCGCAATGGATTACAACAATATTTTACTCTTAAGAAAAAAAGGAAATTAAATAACTTTTATAGACCTTGTTCAGTGCAGCAATGTCGTTCGCACATCAGAAAACAAATTCTGTTTGGATTCCGCTTGCATGACGTCTAGTGTAAATTTAGAACCGGCCAACAGATGCGTGGACAAGCCTGATCGACTGTCTCTCTCTGGGGCAAGTGCCAACTTTGTCCCTCGCAAGCATAACTGTTACTTTCGATTTGCTTAACATATTTTCACTCTGGAAAAACGTTCACCTCGAAAACCGTATGTGTTGCAGGTCGGTGTAGCATCCACTTGAAGGGCGATGACGATGAAAGTAAATAAATTTTCCATGAAATTGACTAAAGCGGTGTACATTTCAGCCTGATCGCCCTACGATCCGAGCTACGCTCAATAAATATTGACCACATGGCATTCGAGGGTCAAAAACATGCTACACAATCCTTTGGCACGAAGCAAAATCCCAGATAAATACTGAATTTTGCAGCGTGAGCGAAGAGCCAAGCCTTAGATACATTTGCCCATAAATTTTCCACACTAAGCGAACATCATTTCAACTTCCAGCCCTACTCTAGCGTTTCATCAATGTACTACGAAAAACTAAAACAAAGTTTTGCCCCGTCAATCTGATGTATATTTGGTTTTCACGCTTCTTAATCGCCGATTGTATTTTAAAAAAATGCTATCCAGACCGAAATCACGACTGAAATCCAGAGTTTTAGTAATTTTTTTATTAAAAAGCTGCAGGATTATCGAAGTTCCCTTTCTTCCGCGGTCATCACATGCTCGTGGTGAATTCAAGAACTCATAACAAATCTGGCGAAGGAAACTGTTGCTGTCGAGTTTCTTGTCATTTTTCGAGCTTTCCTTAAAAGCTACAATTAAAAGCCTCGTTTGCCCTTATCATGGATTGACTATTTGCATGAAAGTAAATGGTTAATCAACACACCTCTTTTCTAGCGCTTGCATGATTTTCCGGTTCGTCTTCTGACGAGTAGCAACACGAGCACTTGGTCGAATGTGCACGTTTTCGCCTAAAAAAATTGCACAAAACCTCAATCTCAACCACGAAAAAAGCTTAGAAACCCAAAGTAGAAGGTACTCACGTTCTCCTCAAACCAGTGTAACCCTTCTCCATTGCGTGCCAGCTTGAAAAGCCGAGATCTCCGACGAAAATGAAACTACCAACCCAGACGTCGACATGTTTGTATCAGAGTAAACCCTTTGCGTCAGAGAAATACTATGGGTGTTACTGCGCTTGCGTACATTGGCCATCCCAGTGATTTGTGGGTAACTTTGGCAATATTCCCGCGAAAAAGGGGCCTACCCTGCAAATCGAAGCACTCATCTTTTCTGAATTATTTTCATTTTCTAATTATAAAGTTCGCAGTAATCAGTTACCAGATTTAAACAAAGTACACGAACATATTTTTAACTCATGAAAGCTAAATTGAAAGTAAAGGAAATTGAACACCTATATACTTATTATATTTTAGATATTTCTAAACTTGGCGTTTTTTGTTTTTTTTTCCTTTTTATTATCATTGATCCACGCTCAAAAGAATCCCTTGTAAACTATTCTTTTTCCTTCTCGTCTGACGCATTTTTAATTTTCAAATTTTCTCATGAATTATAATCGATGAGAGGAACCTTTTTCTTTGCACCCCGTAAACGATTTTTGAATGTCCTTACAATTTCACCCCTGAATCATGAAGTAAGGTCACGAAATAAAGAAAATTATCAGCAGCCAAAGAAGTTACTGATTGTTACACAAATTCTCCTGGTTAGAACCTTAGAGAATGTATGGGGAATAGTTTGGAGAACAGCTTTACCGATGTTAGGATGTAAGGGGTTAAACCTTTAACACCCATCAAGGAGAATTTCTTTCATAATGCGGAGCCTTTTTGTTTGGTGATCGCTTCCTTTATTCTCATTCCAGTATTGTGCGAATCATGGGTGTTACTGTAGGAGGAAATTAGATGCTAGTCACTTCTTAACAGGCCAAAGAGTTAACGAATAAATTTCAAATTATCAGTCGCTAAATTGGTGTCCTAAAGGATATCGTATCATTCGCACTATCCAGTTATTGTTGAAGAAATGTAAAATGGTTTCCGTGTTTACATCAGGCTATATAAGCACGGAAACCATCACAGGACGAAATTGCAAGAATCCGTAAACGGAAACGTGGCGGAAACATGCAACTCCATGTTTCCGTTATGTTTACATAGTTGTATACGCAGCAACGGAAACGCGAGAAAACGTCACGAAACTGGTAACGGAAACACAGGTTATCCGTCGTGTTTCCAGAACGGTTTAACATGTTTCTGCCACGTTTCCGTTTACGGATTCTTGCAATTTCGTCTTGTGAATTTTACATTTCTTTTATAAAATAACTGATGATAGAGGAACGAAAACCGTGTTTACATACGCTCATGTAAATGGTTTTATGGCCAATCAGAGCGCGCGTACTATTTGATTTATTTTTATAAAATAGCATTCCAGTAAATAAATGAAATTTCTTGTCAGTACACCTAGGTTTGACTTCACTAGTTAAGGTGATTCCTCAGTATTGCACTGCACATCCTGTGCTGCGCATAAAAATTACTCAATTGACCAGGTAAAAAGGTACGACGATTTTCAGCTTTTGAACGAGCACAGTGACCGATATTTTTTATTGCATAATTTTGTTATATAAATTATCCCCTTTAAATTGGGGAAATTAAAAAAAAAATAATGGAAGGGGAAAACCCTTGCTCCCAGCTACTACAAAATGTACCATGAACCGATGACTTGCGGTGAAATGACGGACGTGATTAGTGTCAGTACAGGCATAAATAAGGTAAATTTGGTCTGTCATATCTTTGAAACAAGAACGGTGACCCATCTTTTCGAAACAAACATGGGTAGTTGATTTGTTTGATGACTTTTTTTCTGAGGAATTTCCTTAATCATATATCGATTTGGATTCAAGTTTTTCGGGCCTTACACGACAGAAACAAAGAAATTCAAAGCATTGGGAGTAAATTATATCTTTGAGCCGGGAGCTTTACTCTGCTCGATAGGATCTGGTGACTAGAGAATGGACAATATTATTTAACCAGCGTTTTAGCCAACGATGAGGTGAGTACCGGTAATCTTTTAGGAATATACCACACTTGAGGATTTGCTTATTTACGTCAACATAGTGAAGCTGGTTGTAAATGGAAATTTTAACGCCTACTTGCTCCTCAAGCTGTTTTTACGGTGAAAAATGATTGATATTCGCATTCAAACAAGCCAATCAGTGCACGTATTCACCTGGGGTCATGAAAAGTAGACGGGGATAATATTCTAAAGAAAATTATCTTAAACCCTTATCATTTAAGATTAATATACTTATCCTCCTGACTGTTCTCTTGACATTTTCTTAAATGCTGACGAGGAGAATTTGTTTAACAATCGAGAGCTTTTTTAACCCCCAAGAGTGAATGGCATCCAAGTTCTCCTTTCATTCTCATCCCTGAATCACTCATTAAGGTTACAAGAATTACAGAAATGATCACCAACTAAAGAAGCTCTTGATTGTTAAACAAATTCTCCCTGTCATCACCTAAGGAAATATGAAGAGAGCAGTATGGAGAATATGCATACTGATGTTATGTTGTTAAGAGTTAGGTTGGTGATTGTTTCCTTTATTCTTGCAACCTTACTGTTTGACTTGGGTGTGAAACATAAAGGGGAAATTTGATGCCAATAGCTCTTAGGGTGCAAATGTTAGAAGAAAAAAAAAAGGGAAGTCAAGGGTAGCAAATTCATGCACTTTGTTCAATCATGAAACAGAAATACATCAGGATCATTTTCAACTGCAATTTAATGATTAACCTAACACTCCATACCATTCTCTGAACACTTCCTTAGATGCTGACAAGGAGATTTTGTTTAACAATCACGAGCTTCCTTTGTTGGTCACTTTCTCCATTACATTCTTGTAAACTTAATATTTGACTTAGCGTGTGATAATGTAAAAAGAAATCAGAGATGGTAGAGTTGAGAAGCAAAACAAGAGAGAAATCAGGGTATGTAAACTGTAAAGCAATGCATATATTCAATATAAAGAACAGAGATGCACCAGGATCATTTTAACGACACTTTTAATAAATGATCAACTGATTCATTTCTTCAAATTAAAGTGTTTGTGTCGCAAAATACATCACTTGGATATTATCAAAGATACATACACAAATATTGTGATACTTGATTGAAATCAATCGTCATTATTTCATGCCATGCTGCGCTTTCAATTAAGAGATTTAATTATCAAAGATACATATACACAAATATTGTGGTGCTTGTTAAAATCAATAGTCATTATTTCATGCCATGCTGTGCTTTCAATTACAAGAGTTAAATAATACAATCAGGTAAAATTTGAAGCTAGTTTCAAAGGTTCCTCTGCTGGACATGGAATTTAGCTTTCATGCAAAAACTCCCTTTTTCAGATTTGTCTTACCATATATTTAAAAAAAATAAATATTTTAAAATACGATTACAACATGTACACATCAATAAAAAATTACATCTTATGTTGTCAGTGTACACAAAAATAGATAATAATATATTTAAACGTATAAAAGATGTTGTAAACAATGGAAAGTCAAACTTGAGCCTTTTTACTAACCAAAGCTGTCAGTTCTGCTTTCTTTTTCAGAAAAAGGTAAAGCTCTTGTAAAAGTCTGTTTAAGTCTACAATCATTAGTAACTTCCTGTCAAAAATATTCATACAAAATGAAATTTCTAAAGCAGCAGCAGAAAAGGTTCTGATGCAGTATTTGGTCTGGGGTTTGATGGAACCAACACTGGCTGACAGTGAAACATATTAAAAGCAAGCAAAGCAGAGAGAGCATTTAGATCTTCATAAACATAATGAAATTTCTACAGCATAAAAGTTTCTAATGAAGTATCATGTCAATAAAAGTTTTCGTCAGTATGATGTATGAATGCTATGAGATGGCTGGTACCTTTCAGTTCTCAAACCCCCTTCAAACCCTTTCCTAAATTATCCCTTCCACTCAGGAAGATTAAAGTATATAAAAATTACCCCACAAATTTAAAGCTGTCTAAGAGCTGTAAAAATATCTGTATCATGTGCAAGTTAAGAATCAAATTAATCTGATTTGATGTTGTTTAAATGATACACTCGTTACCAAGATCTTGGTTTGAATCCAAGCCTGCAACATAGCAGGGTCTACTCAAAGTTTTTCAAGGGAATATTTGCTCAGGATGTGCATGATGATGTGCACTGGGAAAGCTGTCTGATGCAGAAGGTAGCTCAATTTAGTTTTCTCGAGAACGTCTCATCCTTGGAGGTAGCCTCTTGTTGATTTTTTGTGGAGGACACGGAGCCTGAAATGAACAAAAACATATGATTGCCATGATCATAGGATTTTAAGATCCCTTGACTTTTCCCTGAACTTATAATTTTACAATCTTATGCTCTTAGCACTTAACCCTTTAACCCCTAAAAGTGATTAGTACCTAATTTCTCTCACAATATCATCCCTGAATCACACATTTAGGTCACAAGAATAAAGGAAATGATCACCAACTAAAGAGGGGCTTTATTGCTTAACAAATTCTCCTTGTCAGCACCCCAGGAAATGTATAGAGCACAGTATTGAGAGTTTGCATACTGATGTTTGGGTGTAAAGCATCAAGTTTTTTTATTCTAACTGTTGATTTTGAGATAGCAAACTGCTGCTTAAGTTCAGTACAAGTAAAATTAATTATATTTCAAGGTATAATTTACACCTTGTGCTTTCTTTGAATATTTTCCAACTGGGAAAATTCATATGCCACAGGAACCATGCACTCTCTACACACATGCTCAGAGTAAAGAAATACACACCTTAGATACTTCATATTTTCACAAGTGGCATCACAATTGATGGCTATACAGTCAAACATCTCACTCTTTGGCAGCAAAGCAACTCGAAATCTCTTCTATTGCACTTATGAGATTGAAATCAAACTGAGTACCTACTTGCGGATTGTTCTGCACATTAGGTATTTGTTGCTGGTAGAACATCAGTGGGGGCTGCTCTTCTGTAGAAAAACAAAACCGACCAAAATGTATAGAGGAGAACTCAATTGAATTGAAAAATGTAAGCAATGCATGAAACACACAACAAAACTTACCATAAACATACATATATCCCCCAGGTTGAGGGAGTGGATAGGAAACCTGCTGACAAAATAGAGGAAAATTATCAAACAGAATTTAACATTTACAGTCACCTGAACAATCTCCTTAGTACAAAGTTAGCATATTTAGGAATTTTTCAATGAATAGTGGGTAGATATTGTCAAACCTATCCCGAAGACAAAGTCCAAGACGTTATTTAGCAATAATGGTTGTGTGAGAGGCAAAAAATTGCCTTGTATTAGAGTAACCAAAGGACATATGGAATAAAGTTCTAAGTGACTTTTAATGCAACATCTTAAATTCTCTGTGTCACAACATTTTACAAGACAATTTGAAAGGAGTCTTTAGCTATCACGAGTACTTGCTCGGAGCTTTTTCCATGAAATCCAATTACTTAATTATCATGCACCTTTTGTTTTCAAGTCAGTGTTTTCGGTGTTATTAGTCACCTTGCAAAGGTTATTTTTTTTTTAATTTTTGCAAGATATGGCATACTTTTCAACCAATAAGAGAGTGTATATCTCTAGAATTATTTTACAATATTAACAAATATGACTCATCAATTATTTACAAATTAGCTCCACGGCCTTAAGCAGTACAAGTCCTCACCTGACATGGGTGTTGATATGTATACTGAAAGAAATTACAGAAGTATAAAATGTCAGAAAATTTTGTAAAAACAGTGTCACAAGCCCAAGGGTATCATAACATTAAAAAAGAAAAACCACCACATAACTCTCCCATGTTCAGCTTTTGAAGAATTATGAACCAGTAGCTGGTATTTCATTATACTGCGAGATAAAACAGCCCAATGGCCAGTTGTGTTGGACTCAGAGCCGAGAGGTATGGCTTAACCCTTAACTATCAAGATGAGATCATTAATTCTCCCCTCAAGCTGCAATTTCCTTTTAACTTTCTACAAGAATTTGGTGTTAGATCAGGAGACCAACCTCTACCTGACAAGCTTGAATATCCTAGTTAGTTACCAGGACATTGCTAAACACTCAAGGGGCTTGCTTCTCTGAGGTCCCAGTAACTAAATGGGCCTGTAAAACTGTTCCATTTTGATTCAAGATGGGGTTTTTCAAATTTAAAGTTTTCAAATAATACAACTGAACCATTGGCTCATGGAACAAATTGTACCTATTCTTTAAATTTTGATATTAAAAATTTGGTTTTAAATTTGGCATCAGGCTCATAATAATGAATAAGGGACATTTGAGAAACAAGCCTCAAGTCAGGTTATTGTATGGTTCTTAGCCATTACACCCTGCACTATCACAGTGTCTTTCTCTAGCCAAGAAGCCAGGATTGTTAATCAGTGTAGAGCAACTGTCAGGGAATACTGAACAAATGCTGAGGAACTGCTGGGGGGAGGGGGGGGGGGGGAGGAGAGAGAAAGGGAAGTAACCCTATGATGGACTGGCATCCCAATTGGCTAGAAGTAGTGACCTCCTTGTTACACTTTACGAGACTGAAACTGTGATAGGCTGTGGCATAAGCCAAGTTTTCCAGTAAGTTTTAAAATCCTTACCTGTGGTGCTGGGGACAACTGACCATCAGAGTATGTATATGATGGAACTGGGTAGTAATAGTCTCCTTTCATTTGTGTGCTGACTAGAAAAGAAAAATAAAAATCTTCATTCAGAGATCTAGAACTATCACAGTTTCTTTAGATTTATTAACCAAAGTCAAATAGAATTGCATTCATTTGTTTTTTTTTTTAACTCCCAAAAAGTAACTGGTAAGGAGAAATCATGCTCCCCTCCCAGCCAAAGAGATGCAAAGCTAAACCAAATCACCAATAAGTTAAGGGTTAAGTTCCTAAAGAAACTGTGGTGCTACATTGATGGGAAAGTATAGCAGGGTAGTTTAGTGTTATCAACTCAGTTGATAGTGTAAATTTGCCACTGCAGAGATTAAAAGCTGATGTTTCAGTTTATGTTATCAATTCATGTTATCAACTCAGTTGACGATACTACATTGCCCTGTTAAACCAAATCACCACTATTAGACTTTCATATTTGCCATATTTCAAGCAATTTGCTTGTGTTTACTTTGGCCTTTTGGTTACTTGTATTAGGTTATCATTTTCCTCCTCTCACTGCCCCATGTTCAACCCCTAAAATCTCAAGATCTCATTAGTAATTCTCCTTTCTGTCTGCCAAATGACTCATAATTGACATTTTTCTTTATTCTCGTCACTTGTCTGCATGATATTGTATAGAATGATATAGAAAGGACAAATTCTGTCTTGGTCACCCACAGGAGTTGAAAGGTTAATACACACCACTATACAACTGTTATTTATGAGAGAGGCCAAAAAATCACTGAGAAACTTTTATAAACCCAAAGAATTTGAATCGGAAAGAATAATCTGCAATGAAACACTCACAAGTAGAACAATTCTCATCATATTCCACTTACCCACCACAAGTTCAGGTGATTCGGGAGACATTGGTCCCTGGAAAAAAAATAAATTAAAAGTGAAATGACATCAGTTTGGGTTCTGATTTTTTTTTTCTTTGCTCTTTTAGCACTTAAACTATGATATGTAAACAGTGCTCATGTTCAACTCAAAGCTTACCTGTTTCTTCACAGCAGGTCCTAAATTGAGCTTTTTATTACGAAAAAATAAAGTTCCCTGCAAAACAGAAGTAATCAATTGCTTTTAAAATTTAAAAAAGTAGCCTCCGTCCTCTCTTCCATTTAACCTTTTCACTCACAAGATCTCATAGATGAATCTCCTTACTATCTACCACAGAAGTTTTATAATGTTTGTTTTGAGAATCTGTTATTGGGTCAACTAATATTTACCTAGTTGATATCTTTCTTTGTTCACATGACTTGTCTGCTTGATTTTGAATATTTAACATGAGGAGAATACTGCCCTTGTCACTCATGGGAGTCAACTCTAACTTCCAATATCTGATTGTTAATTCTCCCCTCAGGCTATTACACATTTCCTTGTAAATTAGATACGAGAATTTGGCGTTGGATCAATATAAACTTCTACCTGATCTATTTGAGTATTCTCATCACCTGTTTGCTGGATAATGTACAAATATCAAAGAGAGAAGTTACATATTAATCACTTCTAGGTTTTGAAAGGTTTTAAGGTTGAAAAAGCAAAACAATTTGACTTCCTTTTGTTAGGTTGTCAGCAACTGATTATTTTTCAGCCTTTTCCTCTAACTTTGCATGATTTACATACTTAATGTGATGGATTTAAAAAGCATAAGCCAGGGCGCAAAGCATAATCAAGATAAATAGAGAGTCCATGCAAAGTATCAGAACAGTTTGACTTCCTTTTGTTAGGTTGTTAGCAATTAATTCTTTTTCAGTCTTTTCCCTCTAACTTTGCACAATGGATGTGCTCATTGATTAGGTGGGAGGTGGAATGGGAAAATAATTGGCTTGAGGTTGTAGAGGCATGAACCAGACACAGTAAGGTCCATGTGTCATGTCAGACCCACATAATCTTGTCTGCCTTGACCAAACTCAGTCAAAGAGTTTTTTTTTAATTGTTTTTTTTTAATTCAATCATGACCCCCATCTCTCAAAGCATTGTTACGCAAGGCTTAAATCTAAACAGGTTGCAAATAAATTCATATAAAAAAGGATGAGCTGGACGATTATGTAACCAATACAAAACAATAGTTTCTTATTCAAGTCTTGCAGGTACAGCATGGTACTACAAATGTAGAGCAAAATGTGACAATATTATCTTGTTTCTTTTTCCCTTCTCAGCTTCAGACAACAACAGGTATTCATGATCTTGGAAAACGCACCAGTGAAGAGTGAGTGCAGGGCTGGACAGTTTTATCCAGAATGGCCTATGTCAACCAATAGGTCGTGCAAGCGTCATCTTTCTCTTTGTGGTTTCCTATAGCATTGCGTGCAGATGCTGTGCACTTTATGTCATAAATAATAACCATGCTACGGTTGAATTTCAAAATATTTCAAACAATGATTCAGAAATAACTTTTGGTTTAAGTGAGTTTCAGGTAATTTGGTCAAATTAAACATTGCGTGAGTCAAGCTTTGCAGGTCACATCCCAAATAGCATTATGTTGTGGTTTAGGTTCTAAATAAGTATTACTCAGAAATAACTTTTGGTTTGGGACAGCTCTTTAGCACTGGAGTTTGGGAAATTTACACTGTCCTGACTTCGACACAATGGGCGCCAGCTGGTCAAAGGTCATTGTGGTTGAAAAAAAGTTCCTTTCATTAAGATTCAATTTTCTCTGCTTAGCACCTGACCAACTTAAACTGAGTCAGACACAATAAATAAGGACCTTTTCATATTATATTCCTGAACATTTACAAAGGTGTCCCAAAAATATTCCCATCCTTGTGAAGAATTGAAACAAACACATCTACCACCACAATTGAAGATTTAAGCCAATAAACAGGTATTCATATGAAATGTCTTGCATTCTCATTAATCACATTGATTAAAAGCTATATCTTCTTCAAAAATGTATACACAAGAAGGCAAATGTTAAAAACCAGACATGAGAAATTGCTCTTCAAAACAAACTGGTTTGAAACTAGGGTTTTCTAGCTCCACCTCTGGCTAGCTAGGCACGCACATTCTTGCTGTCTTTGGAAACAATCACTCTAAAATATCTTACCATCTCTGTAACATTATGAACATCTTTTTCTGAGGCAAAAGTGACAAATCCATATCTGTCAGGCAATAAGGAAGAACAAATTTGACCATTACCATCATGCATCAAAAGAATTTATGATCTGTTCTGAAAATATTTCACAACCCTGTAATTCATTATTAGACTAAGGGCTTGAAAGCCAAGGTCCTCTATGAAAATTTCACTTTTCCTTGGTGCATCCAGAGATGTAAGAACAGTTCACAATTAACCCAAAAAACTCTCACAAACAAGATTTAAAACTTTTGTTCTCATTGTGCATATTTAATAAAAAACAGATTTCTTACAATTGAACCAAGCAATAAAAAACTCACCCTTTGGAAACATTGTTTTCATCAAAGATAATTTTGGTCTCTATGACATGTCCAAAATTGGAAAAATAATTGGCCAATTCATGAGCAGTAGTCTGCAAAATAACATCACAAAAATATTAATCAAATGTGATGATTACACAACACCAAACCATGCCTTAGGAAGAACCAAGTTATTTGACCTTCATATATAAAAGCAGGCCAATCAGTTGATTAAGTTTGCCATAAAAAGCAGCACAATCTCTGTGTACATCACAAATTACCACAAATTTGAGGAGGGTTAATTTAGCAGACTTACCTGCCTTTTGTAACCAATTTAAAAGATAAAACACGTTATCGTGTTTAGTTAAGCAGCTTGTTGCCTAGGTTAAAAGCGATTAAGAAGTGCGACCCATACAGTACATTAAAATGGGCATCATCCCAGGTGTAGTATCAGGTTTATTGTTACTGAGAACCCTCACTGTCAGAGTTTTATCAAATTAAATACTCTGATGTTAATAAGATTTTGCCCCACCCCTACCCCTCCCCCCCATCTCTGGGAGCTGACACCCAAACGCTTTTACAAGCTTAGTTAAGGACAGTTTAAAAAAAATTAAGCCAGACCTTAAAAAAAAAAAAAAAAAAAAAAAAAAAAAAAAAAAAAAGAAACTGCACTCTCAAAAACCCATCTTTACTACTGAAAACAATAACTATCCACATAAACCGAGATTTCCGCCAGATCAGAATGATTAATTAAAAACAAGCGTGTTAAAATTCGCGCGCCTCCCAATTGAATAATTAATTCAATAAGGCTAACAAATATAACATGCTGGTGTCTGGCTGTGCCGAGCTCGCTGGAAAACTCGGAAGTTTAACGCTGTAAAACATAGAAATTGACGATTTAATTGAAACACGGATCAAAATTACAGTCGTGACACAAAAGAGATAAAGATGAAGATAAAAACTCCAAAGCTTTCTATAAGATAAATCGAGAAAAATTGCACACTCCACATTTTAATGTGGATTGTTGAAAATTAAACAAACACATTGACAAATTCCGCTACTATACACAAACTTGCACTAATATTTTCCCTCTTAATTTTTTTTTCCTCTCCTTTACAGTCGTAATTTCCTTTATATCAAAAGTTCATGGCGTAAAACGAGAAAAACAAATAACAGGCTATTGTGGCCGGATAACCATACCAAGCGAGTCACGTTCGCAAAATAATCGTTGCATTTGCGCGTTTGTAGAAAACACCGTCGGTAAAGCAATATGACTGAAAATAGGCTTAATCATGACAGGACTCTGAGTAACTTTTAAAAGGTCGATCTACTCTAACATAGTGTGGAAACACAATTGTTTTTCTAACTCAAGGGGCCTTCCCGCGGTTTATTTGGACTACACGGTAAACACCCGTAGAATGATTGATCAAATGAACTTAATCTTCCCCAATAATTTTTTAAAAACACTCATTTAGGATCAGTGTTGTTAGAGGATAAAATCAGTAAGAAAAACAGCTTACATTCACTGGTAATCCTCCGACAAACAATCGGTTGCGGAAACGTTTTCCGAAGAGATAGGTCGAAGAATTCTCCTGGAAGACAATATCAGAGAATCTGCGGGTTATTCACGCACAATTATGTAACAAACTGTTATAATTCCACTATTTAGTTTCGATTTTTGGCCGATCTTTTCAATTAACCTAAAAGCTTAAAGAAAAACGGCAGTTGATCAAAAACAGAATTTTCTGAACTTGCAACAAAATATGAATTGCCAATGAATGGATTTGAGTAATTACTGTATGCAAGAAGGGCGTTTTAACTCCAATCTGAAAAACCTCCTACATGCAGATTTTTAACCGCAGATTCTCAGTAGAAATGTTGAGATATTCAAAGGTTGTACAAGATATTGTGTTCTTACCATTGCTGAATAGAAGTTGAACGAAGGAGAGGTATCGTACTCCACTGTTCTGCAAGTGCACGTGGGAAATGATATTACCGCAAATGTCAAAGTCATTTTATACCCCAGCCGGGGTACACGTCATTAATTACCTAATTTCACGCATGTTACGAAAACACGGGGACAAAGTCAACAACAATTGACATTTTCCCAGCGGAACAAACAGCTCGACCGATCGAACAATACGATTCAAAATTGGACAAACAAAGGTGTGAGCTAAATAGTAAGCAGTTCTCACCACACCAGTTTTTTTCTTTTTTCCAGGAAGAATACGACCATCTTTTAAACGGAAGTACGAGTGCTGGAGTTTCAAAGTGGGTGGTTTTACTGGAAAGTGAGCACATGGTTTCGATTTGATAAATCAGTGATGACGGCTTGAAGCTGTTACTTTCAAGACGTGCAACTATCGCCAAATCACAGCTTCTATAGATTAAATAGACCGCTTTACTAATTTGACAGCAAAAACCAAAACATTGACCAGAATAAACGGCGTAAGAAAAAAAATGATAAGTTAATTATCGAGATTCTACCATGTCAAGGATACGATGTTTATATCATTCATCATATTAAAATAATTGCTTAAGGAAACGTGTCATCTTAAGGTCAAATTCTGGACCCGAAATGCTAAAGATAGGTGCAAAAAGGGGACACTTTTTTTTTTTTATAAAATATTGTGGGATGCTTTGTTTTGAAAGCTTTTGAATGAATTGACATTTTCACTCCAGTCTATCAAGCGCGTTAAGGAACTGTAAACAAAGATTTACTATCCCATCTATCAAGACTATCAAATGAAATAGTTGTCTTGGGGTATTATTTTTCCCACGCCAGAGGTGTGACATTGAATTCTTCCGGCCAAATTTGAATGTTTACTGGGCGGAGAAGCTTCATTGAGAAATAAGTAGAAGGCTATTTCAGAAAAGAAGTGAACTCAACCGCAAACTGCGGCTGTTTGTAGCAAACACCATTGATCCGCAAATGAATCCCCTCAGGAGTTTTATTTCACAAGTACGAACAGGAAAAATTAAGTTTTTTGAGAGCAGCTTAATCATGACAATAGCGTCTAACTAGTTGAAATGTATCACTTTCTACTCACGATTCACGAAGAAGAACTTTGTTTTCTTTATTTATTCTCCGACTGACAAATATGGCATGAACGATGCGCCGAAATTGCTCGCTTAAGAAGGAAGACGCAGTATTTCCGGTCGCCGCTGCTCTAAGCGTAAGAAGGGCTATTAACTTGTAGCTACTGCGAAGTTGATGAAAACTTAGAGAGTTCATAACCGTTTTAAAACGCTAAGCCCCCGCTCTCTACATTTTATAGCATTTTCTAGGAAATCCGAACTTCATCTCGTTATCACAAACAATTCAACCGTCCGTAGATGTTTGAGAGAAAAAAATTAATTAAATAAAATACAATCGGTAGCATCGTTCGAACAATACATTCTCACTTGTGTCGTCTTGCAGTTCATGACTATCTTGTTATCAAGATCGCCTTTCGGGGCGGCTATTCCACACAACACCTCTACCTTTTTAGTCTCCTAAAACAAACACTGATGATCTTATCTTCTTGCAAGATTAAACTCTGATAATCTTTGACATAACACAGTGCTGGGGAGAAATTTTCAAAATTGCTTCGGGCAGCTGCTTTCCCTTGCTAATGCCTCACGCAACGGAAATTTATGTCTACTATTCACAAGAAATAACAATAAAGATCTCTCGTGACAGGCTTGATGACCCCAAAAAGGGGCGTAAGACATTTTTTACCATCTGCACGAAAGCTGTGATTAATTTTAGCGCGAGCCAGTTAACTTTGGTCTAGCCTGGGGCGTTCTGCCTTCGATTTCACTAAGACGCACGAAGGCCTTTTCTTCGGTACCTTAAGACCAAGACTTGAAATAGGTCAATGAGGTCTGTCGCGATCTAAAAATTGTTCTGGCTGGATTTCCTCAACGCGTGGCTTATAAGAGAACTTAGCTCTTTCGCCATTACCACACAGAATTTTAACCCTTTCCACCCTGACATCAGTATACATATTCTCCATAATGTTACCATACATTTCTTTAAGAGCTGACAAGGAGAATTTGTGTAACAATCAAGAGTGTCCTTTACAGGTAATCATGTCCTTTATTCTCGTGATTTTAATGTGTGATTCAGGGGTAATTCTGTGAGGAAAAAGTAGAAGATATTCTCAGCATTAAGAAGCTTTTTGCTCCTTTTCTGGCACGCGCAAGTGGGCGCAGTTTTAGCACTTTTCATCGTTCAAATTTTGCGATAAATGAAATCGACGCCTCCCAATTCCTCAATCATACCAGTTCATCACCAAAACCGACGTCTCTGGTCGAAAACACATACGGTGATAGGAAAAATTTCCTGCTTCTTCCTGTCAACTATTTGACCATCCCCATCCGTTTTTTTGAGTCCCTCTTGCATTATACCGTCCACTTGGTTGCGTTGATCCTGATCCAGTCCTAATTAATGTGAAAGAGGATATTTCCTCTATTGATGAGATCCGGCTAGATTGTCAAGAGTCTTTCCTTGTCGTCGACCGCAGTCCTGTCAAGATTATCCGCACTCGGACGATCAGACTACCCGATTAACAAGGTAATGATGTATTTCCGTTCAATGTAGGATTGATCACATTTCGTCGAATAATCACCGTAGGACGAATCATCATCCTATTTTCTCGATTTTATATGCTAGAATTCACATTAAGAGATGGAATGCGAAATGTTCCTTTTTTTTTTCCATCCAATTTGAACTCTCATAGTGTAACTCCAAATGTCTCAAAGCCCCCAAAATCCAGATTTTAAATTAAAAATTCGCGTTCCTTCAAACGTTTAACACGACCTATGTGGCCAAATGCCAAGGTCTTCCCTGTCTCCTAAAATAGTCCTAAGAACGAACAGTGAACCATTAGGAATCGATAACCCATTTTTAAAACCTCTTGGAGGAAATTGCGAACCCGCAGCAAAACTGAAATAAGGGTAGATATCATGCACAGAAATTCCTAGAGAGGAAATCCATTGGGAAGCGTTAGAGCTGGTAGAGTTTTCCCGGAAATATTTGGGTATGTTGTTTATTGACTCCTCGGCCGTCACATACTGTGGAAATGAACAAAGGAAGATTCAGTTTCCTATCTTACTTGTTCGTGCCTGCGTCGAATCCGCAAACTACTATTCCGATGAAAATTAGCCTTAAAAATAAAACGCCAAATGAAAGTGTCGTCCCCCGCATGTTGGGCCTAAAGAAAACCCTGACAGACTTTGGAAGTACTTTCAGAGTTTGGTATACGAGCGAGACGCCGGAATTTTCAGAAAACTAAATACATTGAAAGTTACTCGGTATTCCATAGGTACCGCGTCGCTTCACAGAAGTGTGCAGTTCCGAGTGTTTTGGCGGAAGGTGCTGCAAAGGGTCCGGTCTCATACCGCCTATTGTTTAAAATTAAGCGGTGCTTGTTTGAGCTTTACAAAGCTTCGACGGACCGCTTCACCAACTACCCTGAACAGAGCGTGGGAAATACAGTCCGATGGATTATAATAATTATAATGAAATAGCAGTAATCATAACAGTAGTAATCCACAGTATTAATAGTGGAATACCTCAAAGATGCAGCATGTATTTCGGTTTTTATTTTTCAAGCCAGGAGCGTAAAGGAAGCTCAAAGGAGTCAATATGCCACTTTTTAAGCTTTTCCTCGGCGACTTTTCTAGTCTGCGAGCAGGCTTCAAACAGAGAAGTTTTTTGAGACTTGGACCGCAGCCACTAGAGGCTTTACGCCCTCATTTTAGCATTAAAAAAACAATGGCACTGAGCTGATCTCAGTGCCATTATGAGTACCGCTTCCACGATGCTCGGCTGGCGAGCAAAGTGAGCCTGCAAGAGCCCGCGGTATGGGTCCAGCAATGTCCAATACAAAAAGTACTGCTTTTGCCGAATCTTTTCCTGACCTCGCTGTTCGTCGCACGTGGCGCGGTACGGATGAGAGTCTGTTTGCAGGCCATGATTTTTCAAATGTTCTGTTTCACAAGTTTGGGGGGAAATAATTTTTACCACAATTGACAGTAATGTCGCAATCTGATCGGCCACTGATTTGTTGTTGTCGTTAAGAGCACAGACAAAGTTTCTTGTTTCAACATGTCACACAATGGTCACGCACTGAAAGGATTGTTTTATTTGACGTTGGTGGTTTAGCGTGGTCTGCACTCTTGTCGGCAACGATTATCGTCATCACTGTGGTCAAAATGTTGCGGACTCACGAGGAGCTGCCACTACCGATTTTCTACTACTTTTTCACCCACGGAACATTAAAGGGAATGTATTAGCCTTATCTTTCTGAGTTTATTGACATCTCCTGCAGCACAAAGCCAGTCATGTTTTTGAGGAGGCGAATCAAAAAGCAAACAAATAAAAAACACTTAGAAAGGAGAAACAATACTTAGATTGATTATTTAAGCCGATTTTGCAGTGGTCATTCGCTAGTGTAACTATGAGGTTGTTCCTAAACTTTTCCGCTGAGATGAAGCATGTCGCTTCGTCTGATGCGATGCGCGAAGTTCCGATCAGCTTAATGGATACCACAAGCCCTTGATTTGACACGGTAGAAAAAACGCCATAATGGTAAGAGGTTGACGCATAATATTTGGACCTTCAAACTTAAAGGATTTTTGGCATGTGCTAAAACACAGACGATGGATTCGGAAAAATAGAAGATGGACGATGCCCATTGCTAAGGATTTAGGTCAAACTTTTCAGTACGCTAGTTCCTCAAGAGACCGCCAATTGAAAAGTATGCGAGGAGCTTAAGTGCGATTTTACTCTTGTGCGTCACGCTTCCGGTTGCATTCACGCGAGACCCTCTCAAGGAAGGTCCGATATACGCGAGACCTGTAAGAACTCTTCACTGTTAGGTCCATCACAGCTGTGTCACGCCAAAAGGAAATCTGAAAGCGAAAAGTTAAGAAAATGGATGCCATTTTTCTTCTTCTTTGCTTACTTTTAAATTCATCGTGTCGCTTGATTTGCGGAATAGAAAGACTTCCCTCGAATGAGGCTTCAGAGAAATCTACACATGTCACATCAACGATAGATTGCAGGCCACCGAAACCATTTCAGAATAATACAGAACTAAAATGGCGCCCTGGTGCTCGGAATCAAAGTGTATTTTTACCGGGAGAGAAGGCTGTATTTGTTTGTAAGAAAGGATTTCGCCAGATTGGTTGGCTACAAACATTGACTTGTCAGATGAATGGTAGTTGGTTGCTTCGATCGTCAAGTATTAAGGATGACTTTAGATTAGGTGATGGAACACATGGTAAGTATGTTTATTTAACTTGACTACAATGTTACTTTCGATCTGTTACACACAAGCGGTTGAGACGAACTTCAGCCTTAGTTATCCTATATTTTTGTACGGAAATGTGGAATAATTTACACGAACAGTTTATAAATTCCATAGTTGTTGTATAAGAGAAATTTGATCCTTGAAATGATACCGAAATGCGAATACTATGTTTTCCGTCACGACAACACTTCCATACAGCTAAGATAAAAGGTCTAACCATAGAATCAAGAATGAAATCATCACTGCATCCGCAATTTTTTCAACAACAGTTTAGAAGTATTAGAATTATTTTGTCACTGAGAAATCTTTAGCAAGTTTAGCTAAATATTCGAATGGTAAGTTTCGTTAAAGTTATAATTTCAAATCTGAGTGGTTAGTGTGTTGATCACGGCTTGCATATTTTTTGCCTTATTTTGGCGTGTTTACATTTCCTTCAAAAAATTCGAAGCTAAAATGACTATTTCGCGATTGATTGGGAGACGGTGAATCTTCTAGGTCGACAAGGAGAAACCAAAAATGTTATTTTTATCGTTATTTTCAAGAAATGAAATTATATAGTTCACCATCGTAGAGTACAACGCAGACAGCTGTCACACCGGTAGTTGCATAAAATTTAATCGCAGACAGTATTGTCGACAGGCGCCTTACTTTGATTTCTCCATTTGCTATCGTCTGATTCCGAACGCTTCGATCCTATTTTCTTCCATATCGTCCAATTTTCCGAACGCTTTTGTCTTACTTCGGACGATGCCGTCCGATTTGGAACTCTTGAATTCTACCGTCTGATAGCAGACGCCATCGTTCGCTTTCGGCTTCTACCATACGATTTAGAGCGGTAATTTCGAGTCTCTGATGTAAAAACTGGCAAAGCTAATAAATCAAGGCTCAAAGACTTAAAAAATATATGGTATTTTAGAAGGGGATCGAGGAGGCTGTGCAAGCCCCACCTATTCCCTATCGTTTCTTCCCCTCCCCCCTCCCCCCTCTCGCTTTTTTGCAGAGCATTTAGCTAACGTAGCCTATATTAGATGGACATAAATTGTGCTGATTTCCAGACTAATCTCGTACCCAAACCCTACCGTGTTACTGTAACTGAATTTGATTGTGAAAGGGTTGGGTATGAGGCTATATCTAAACCTCACAGCAATGTTCCAGGCCTCCTCTTTCCCAACTTGCTGATTCCCTTCTTTGAAAAAAGCTTTTTAATTTTTTTTTTCAATTCTTTTTTTCATTAGGTTATTGTCTGCCTAACAACTGTAGTCGCAACCAATCCTTCGAGTGTTCATCAGGCGGCCTACCTCTCCCCATTTGTAAGAAGTGTGACTGTATTGTAGATTGCCCGGATGGAAGCGATGAAGCCAACTGTGGGCCAATCTTAGTAAACTTGACGGGACGAGCCGTGGGCGAGATAACTTCACCTAAAACTAATGTTAAAAATTATACGGGATCTCTGACTTGCAGAAGAACTTTGTGGACCGATGATCCAGACTTTTACATTAAGCTGCTGTTTACAGACTTTGTTATGTATGGGAATTGCAAAGATAATTATGTTTACTTGGAAAATGCGACTTTAAGCGGCACGGATCCATCGCATGGCTGTTGCAAGAAGAGTACTAACGTTTCGTGCGCCTTTGGTAATGGAACTGGCGCTCCTCCTCTGGCGCATACCGACAAAAACTTTATGATTGTAAACTACGTTTCCATGGACTCAAAGTCGTCGACTTTTTCAGCGAAATGGTTCAACGTGAATGGGAATTTCCCCTACAGTCTTATTCCAGAGGAAGATTCAGACTGGGTAGATAAGTTAAAAATCTTAGGTCCAAAACCTAAAAACATTGAGGATGACACAACAGACGCAACTTATATCGCCGCAGTTGTCATTTTTTCCATCATCGCTTTTGCTGTTTTGGCAATTCTGTCGTGCAAAGTGGGACGGCACTTTCTAGGACCCCGTTGTAGCGTTGCTTATTGCTGCAGTTGGATTGCAGCCAGACGGCGTTTGCAATCCCCACGCTTGTCGCCACGAAGGGAAGGATCACGAGAAACAAGGCCCACCAAAGGGAGCGTTCAAAACGAACGTACGCGTATAGGGCCACTGAGAAATGTCCCTGTTGATGCAAGAGGCTCCTCGTCTCTTAGGACTCGATACGGGAGCGCCGGAGAGGGCGTGGCTTGAGCATTCATTCATCTCCATTTTACGATGTAATTTCTGTAATCGATGTAAAGATGTAAGGGCAGTGTTACCTCCTTACATGAAAACGTTGCCAGTTTATAATATTTTTTGGGGCTAGATAAATAGATTCTCGCAAATTTATCCGTTTTAAGGAAACTATTCAATTTATTTGGTCATGGTATTGAGACAAAGTCACCACTTTTACTGAGTAATCTTTATTCATCAAAGAAGAATACTATTTTTATTTAGAAACTCTGATACAACAATCAGGATGCTAGATTGTACACTTGCAACTGTATGGTTATATAAGAGAGAAAGATAACGATTCATCAGATTTATTAATTTATATAAAGCCCAAATTAGATGCATTAAAGGCGTTGTTTTGGCAACTCTGTACTATGCGTATGGAACCAAAGGAATAACTACGGTGATTTCTGTCAGCCATCTTATAGCTGTTTAGAGCTGAACTTATCCAGATTTAGAGGCAACAAAAAGACATTTACGGACCCCAGGAGATACTTCTTGTCTAAAGTACAGCAATCAACATAGTCAAAGATTTTGAAACCTTTTTTTCGGTTCATTTTGTTTTTGTTCTCTCTGCTTATTGGTTTGTGTTTAGTTAAGGGTAAAGTGAATAAAAATCAAGTTCACACCGCCTCTCCCTCTTTCGTGTGCGTGTGAAGTATCAGCAACTGGGAAATTATCTCCCTTTGTTTTCATCCAAAGTAAAGATGAAACCAGGCACAACCTTAAGTCGTTTATCCTCTATCTTTTGATGTGGTCGGCATCAACTTGATTTCCATAACTACACTGGCATGTGTGGTCAATTTCTATGTGACTGGCGCTCTAGCGAAGGGCTTAAGTTCGAAACGTCAGCTTGGAAACTCTTTACGGTAGCCGATTTACGATATGAACTCAGTTGATAATACTTAATTACCTTGTTATACTTTCCCACTGACGCAGCGCCACAGTTCAGTTTATTGAGAAACCTACCCCCTTTATTCATAACTGACTAATTGACTGACAGACTGACTGACAGACTGACTGATTGACTGACTTACAGACTGACTCAATAACTGAATGACCTGACTTAAGGACCATTAACCTTTTAACTCCCAGATCAAATTTGTAATTCTCCTTACTGTCAACCATACAATTCTTATAATGTTAGTTCAGAGAATTTAGTATTGGATCAACTTATTATCCCTACATTGATATTTTTCTTTATTCTCATCACTTACCTGGTTGATATTGTATTGATACTGTAAGGAGAAATTCTGTCTTGGTCACTCATGGGAGTTAAAACGGTTAACTGTCTGATTGTGTGAATGTTTCACTGTTTTCCCGAACAAGCTTCACGGTGGCTTCGCTGGCTGATTGCCTCCTACAAGACTTAAAAATGCTACTCCACCGCTAATGGGCGGAGCGCCTGACTGAGCGACTCATTGAAATCATCGTCCAGAGGTGAATTATTCCAGATCAGCTTTGTACGTAAAAAGCAACTTCTGTCTTTCCCCTTGTTCAAACCTTTTGATACTTGATTCTATTTTTCAATATTTTGCAATTTAAAAAAAAATCAGAAATAGATTTCGCGAAATACGTCCATCTCCCGAAATCGCGAACCTTGGCCCTCAAAAAAATAAAATACTGCGTTACTTTTTTGTCCAAAGAGTAACGCAGTATTTTATGACAGAAATTTTAAAATATTCCTAATCATATTGCCTGTCGCACTAGAGAAGAGAGAGAAGGCTCATTTTAACGCGGCTAACGAACGAAGACATCAAAAATTGTATTTGGCAGTTTACCCCGATATAAGCGGATACTTGTCTGTATTTATATGTTTTTTTTCACGGAGGCACGTGAAAGAAGGTTGTGAAAAAGTACTCATGCGTATTAAATATTGGAAACCGGATCAAGCGTGAACTAGTGTTGTCGGAGAGATCAGGTAACCGAGCAGAGGATGAACTGCTATCTCTTCTTTTGTGCTGTAATTGCGTTCCAAACCGCTGCCATCGCTACACAGAGCTTAGAAACTCGCGGACAAGGCATAACGTTGCGACACAAGCGGGCTTCAGCAAGCAAAAACAACACTTGTACTGAAGAGGAACTGAAGAAACCCACCGGCGCCATTTTAAAAAAGCGAAAGCAAAGTATCGAGAACGATTCCTCGACTTTCCTTCCAGGTGAAGAGGCTGTTTTCGTATGCAAAGATGGATATCGACTGCAGAATGGTCAACTGAAATCATACACCTGTAAAGCAGACGGAAACTGGACTTTAAACGCTAAGAACAAGTCAGAGGATGGTAAGTGTTTGTGATTTCAAATGTAACTCGTGGTAAGAATATTTGCATTACAGTCGACAACGAATTAAAAGTTTACTAGTTAATCAAGCTCCCCAGATTAACGGTGTAGGAGGTCAAAATACCTCTTGGTTAAATATGTTGTCTTAATACCGGAATCTTGTGTTTGGTAAATGTCTTATTGGGGCTAATTGTTTTAAAGATGAATAAAGCCTCGACAAAAACACGTAGCAATAACTTAACATGCAAATAATATGTAAATTATGCGCACTAAACAGTACAGCTGTTCAGAAAGTTGTCTTCTAAGCTGACTTAAGGATTCCTTGCGATAAATCTGGTGACCGAAAAATAATAATTACAACTACAATTTTAAGAAAGACTGAGTAGCAGATAAAATCGAAATTTTTTTAATTTTATCTTGTGATGTGATTTTTCTCTAGGCTTTTGTCAGAAGGATCCCTGTGGTGCAAGGGTCATAGACGTCACTGGAAGAGCCACAGGAGTCCTAACTAGCGATATATTCCAGCAAAGTCAATCTGACGCGATTGTGAATTGTAGTTGGACACTTAAAACGCAAGATCCGGGCTTTTACATCAAGTTGCTTTTTGAAAACTTCACCTTACCCGAGGACTGTACTCAAGATTTTGTGACATTGGAAAAAGTACGATTTTGGGATTTCAAAAATGAGAATTGCCCCTGCGAGGAGAGTAAATCTGTTTGTAGGTTTAGTGGCAAGCACGCCCCATCCCTCTCTCGGTCCGTCACAAATGAAACAACGGTGAACTTCTACTCGTCAAACCCAGCTAAGTCCTACTTCAAAGCGATATGGTTTAACGTGAATGGTTTGTTTCCGGAAGGAATTGTTCCCGCTCCAGACCCCACTGAGAGTCCTGAAATCGTGAATTCCAAGCTCGAACTGACAACAGCACCTGAGTCGAATACGTCCTTCACAGTTGCCCTCATCCTGTTTACACTCATATTTTTCATTATCGGCGTCGTGTTGGCGTGTAAAGTTGGCCAGCGGTATCTGGGGCCCTCATGCAGCTTTGGTGCCTTTTTTGCTTGGATCTCAAGTTTACGCACTTCCCAGGCCCCATTATCGACGCAACGCGGTGCAACGTCCTCAGAAGAAAGAGGCTTAATGACAGACACTGACAGTCCCCTCGTAACGGAGCGGGTTGTCATACGGGGATTACAGCATTCTCCGTCAACAGAGGATGAATCGAGTGCATCTTCTCGTGAAAGCTTACAGAATGTTGTCTGATGGAGTGAATTCGAGTTGCGCCGGAAACTTCAAGTTATCTGTAATTAGAACCAAGCTAGCAAAATTTCGAGGGTCCGGAGCCTTTTTTCAATCGGAAGTCGTGTCGTAAAGAAGAATAAGTTTATATGAAACTGCGAGAAGTTGAAATCTGAAAGCAAAACTCAGATTTGTAGAATGGCGCCAAGCGCAGTTAAATGTTTTGCTTCTAGGTCTGATTTTTCACCTTCGGCCGAGTATTAGTTAAAAAAGCCTCACATAAATCTGCTTACAACCTTTTCTTAAGAATCTCTGTGCGAGACATCAATAAACAACGCAAATTCATTACTGATTGTCACATTAGAGCTAGCTACCGTAAGGTCACGCCTGAGATTTACAAAACAAATGGAGCGGTGACCATTCGATCAATTTATTTCACTTTCTCAAGGTGTTTGTGCGAGTTCATAAAATAACATAATTATCAGGGGCGTAGTAACGGGCCCCTGACATGCCTAAAGACCTTCCCCCACCCATCCGCCTTCGGATTAATTAAGAAGCGCGAATTGGAAGAGTCTAAATCTTTGCTGGTGCATGAATACGAGCCTGCTGATGAGTAAGGCAGCGCTAAAAATGACCCCTCTCAGAAAAATGCTAGCTATGCCCTAAATAATTTACTATAGACTTATGGTATTATTCCAGGTTCGCGGCGCACAAAAATTTCTCGTTATAAGACGCCGCGCAGTTTATACGTGCGCATATCCATGTTGCTTCATACCCAGACTGTCGTAGCTTGTAAGCAAACCTTCATTATAAGCGCTGCGGTACAAGCATTCCTTCACCTGCAAGTAAGTTTGAAGGTTTTGGCGAAAGCAAGCTGACGAGGGGCCTGCATGGGACTTGGAACCATATACTCTCATTAGTAGTGCCACATCACTCACACACCTCTTTCTGGCTTCCGTTTCTCAAGGCCTCATTACTCAGCGCTAAAAATTAATGAGGGCCTGCTCGCGGGCACACGCTGCCAGAGGAAATACTCGTCGCATTCTTCAACTTTCCCACTCTATCAAACACAACGCAGTCATACACAACGCAGCGTTCAAACGTCGGGCATGCGCGAGGGGATCAACTCTGGCTGGCCGCACGCTAATTTCTCGCGCAAACAGGTAAGTATAAGAAACGACCACTTTCTTGCAAAATTAGCGAAAGAAAATTGGAAAGTTAACGTTCATGTAACTTTGTGAAAGGAAAAAAAAGTAAGGAAAAAGAAAAATCGAGATTTTTCGAACAAAAAGCGTATTTAAGCAAGAGTATTCTGATAATTTACCATTCTGTTTTGAAGTTTAAAAATACCATGATCCACTGGCTTGAGTGGTCATTTGCAGCTTGTGTAGAACAACCCGGTCGTGACAGTGTAGTCATCTCTAGTCTTCCTCTTGTTGACACAGCGGCAAAATGGGTGCGCATGCTCCGCATGCTCAGGGCTAGCACTTTTCCTTTGCGAACAAAGCTGACGCAAGGTTTTTGCTGATACAACAAACTTCTTCTCCAGGGAGTTTTTCCTGAGAGGAGACGATGACAATATTACGGATACTCTACTTGAGCCGCTAAATTCTTATCTGTTCCCGCAACACCTTTTTTTGTTGAGTAAGATATATGACGGAAGATGTTCGACAGAAACTTTCCTGAAAACTGCAACCTTATCTGTTTTGGTTTGGGCTTATCCCCGCAAAATGAAAACAAGGAATGGGAATTTTAAAAATGCCGCCATTTTGCCTCGACAGTGTTACTATGGAAATATTGTCGCTCCCATCCCTTTACACGCATATATGTTCTCGTGTGATACAAGCATGCGCACTCATTTTGCCACTGTGTTCCTATAATCAAAGTCATTAAAACGTTTGCACATGCGTAGACGTTTGACCACTGTGTTATCATTCACCCACGTAGACAGGGCCATAACTTCCTGCGCTTTCACGTTCTCCGAGTATTTATTCATCTAATTTTATTTCTATTTTCCATTGTCATTTTTTAAAGTTAATTCTACCAGCTGCGGCGACAGCGAGTGACTTAAAGCACTCTCACGGGTGAAGAGATTTCCAAAACTGCTTCACAGCGGAACGCATCTCTCTCATGCGCCAGCAATACACCAGCGGATTTAGCGAAGAATTCAAGTAAACCAAAAAGAGCGTACACCTCATCACAAACCTCCTGAACGGTAAGGACCAATGGATGAAGTTCACAGCAGCACGCATACAAATATAAGGAAGATAACACGCCATGAGTAAAATAAACAAGAAAATCATGGTGATAAGAGATTTCCTGTAGCGTTTGATATTAAGAGTTTCTAGTCCGTTTTGTGCTCGTATTTGAACTTGAATCTGAACTCGGTGACGGTGACAAATGCGATAGATCATGAAGTGCATGGAAGAATTTATCACGAGACACAACAGTATAAGCGTGATTATAAAGTTACGATATAAATTATTGTCGATGAAAACCGTCATCGCACAGAAAGCGCTTGTAACCCATATAAAACACAGTAAGGTGGCTGTCTTGTTAATTGTAACCATGGAAACGTACTTTAAATGCAGCTGAAGGGCGAGAAATCTGTCTACGCTGATCGAAGTTAGAATCAGAACAGTCGCAGACTGAAAAACGGCTTGTATGGATCTAAAGATCTTCCACATATCTGGAATAAATTCCTCTGATCTCATTTCCAAAATCAAAAACAAAGTGAATAATGGCTGAATAAGAACTCCGACTCCCAAGTCAGACACAGCGAGTCCAGAGACGAGCAAATTCGTCGGCTTGTGTAAGATTCGTGTCTTCCAAACTGCACCGAGAACTAAGAAATTCCCCAAAGATGCTGTCAACGAACACACGATATTTAGAACGCAGATGACAGTGTAGACATCGGCGTAACATTTATCGCCCAGTTTGGGCTTACCGCTCGGGTTTGTAAAGTTTCTATACATGGGTGTAAACGTTCGTAGCTTGTTGAAACTATCTGGCATTGAAGTGCACCATGCAGCTGAGAGGTTCCTACTTTGTGGTATGATACCCGACTAGTTATAGTTATATCAATTATTTGTCTTTACATATAACACTGTGACTGCCGGATGAAGCTCCTACTTGAATTAAAACTAAGCAATCAGTAATATCAGAGATCTTCCTTTAAATTAAATCCATTTTGCCTTGTCAGGAAAAGGCTTTATTTACTTTATCTTTTCTTGAAGTTGTTCTAATTACTGACTTTTGAAAACACTAATTGACTACCGGATAAAATTCTTCCTTCAAATGAAAAGTGGCAAAATTTATTGTGGTACATCTAAATGGTACATCTTTTGTTTGATTGGAAAAAAGATTCATATACTTAATTAACATTTTAAAGAAGACGGATCTAGTTGTAATCGATTCTGAACCAATAAAGTTTATTACTTTGTTCGGAAATGGAAAGTTTACACCTTTGAACACCTTTTTCCGTTTTCCGCATTTTCCGTGTTTGCAGACCTATCCTTAGCTTGTTCTGTTGTGGATTTTTTTTCATTCAATAAAGCCTTTAATTTATCTAAATCGCTCTCTACCCTCTTTGATTGTATCTTTCAAGGGTTGCCAATCAATCGAATTCAATAACTTCACTTAGCTCAAAATATTATCGTTTCAATCTTATCCTTCGTCACTGAGTTCCTGTTCAAGTTAGTACTTACAAAATGTTTTTATATTAAAAAACTGCATGCACGCAAGACTGGGTTCGCTGATTTGACATGTAAGAAAAAAGAAAGCCAAGTTTGAGGACCATGTCTTGGTCAAAGAACGAACAGTGACGTTTTAATTTGGATTTTTTTTTTCCTTCTCGCGAATTGACACTATCCAGTGGCCATTCTTCCTTTTTCCCAAAGTGTATGTTCACCTTTGTGCAAATAAATATAAGCCAAACTTGAATTCACCTCAGTTCATTATGATAAATATATATAGATTCCTTATATCACCTTACTAAACCTACAGTTTGATAATAATGTTTCCGTCAGTTAGTTAGTTAGTTAGTTAGATGAGGACATCTTCGCTCCTGCTGGGGAACACAGGACCTCAACTATGGACCTCCGCTGGACTCTTTTGTTGGCAGATCTCTTCGCCTCCCTCGAGGTGATGTTCCTCTTAGCGAGCTTATCTCGCCACTACACCTCCAGGACTGCTTTGGACTGCATCTCCTTTAATGCTGTGTTAACGAGTTAAAACATGGCCTAGATTTGTCAAAACTATTTGCAGGTTTGCGCAAATGTTGCAATTTTAAATAATCATCTTTTGAGTTAAGTCTTTGTGCATATGAAAAAAGAAGCATATATTTTGATTAACGAGTATTTGCTGCAAACTTTGATGAAAAGCAAACGACTTCGATCACTCGCCCGAAAAAAGACATCGCCAAAACAGTTTCATTGCCGGGCTAATCGCCCGCATGTGCCAGCGGTACACCAGCGGACAGAGTGATAATCTATTATCTTATTATTATCTATTATCTAAGGTCAAAAATTGTCGTGCACAGGAAAATGACTTGTATAGTTCTTAAGATTTTAGTGGTATGTTTTCTGTTCCCATTTCTAGTTCGTAAATCGAAACTTTGATAAAAACGGCTGGATTATAAGCCTGATATGACCCCTCAGTATATCTGACTAGGCCATACCAATCCCTTGGGGGGAAATTCGCCGAGCGATTCAAACTTGAGGATACAGGACAGGAGGTTAAATAAAACTGACCATTTACCCGCGAAAAAAGGAACAGCAAGTGGTTTTGCTTCCTCTCTCTCTTAAACCTTCAAAGCATTCATTTGATTGTCATAACAATGATATTCCACTCATTATTTAAATTATTTTGTTAATCATTTGAAAAAAATCATCACCAAGATGAAAGACACTCTTTTTGTGTAATTTGGACTAATGGGGTGTAAGATTGATCAAGAGTATATTACATGGCTGGACGTGGAAACGAATCAAATATTTTCGATCGAGTGTTGATAACAACTCTTAAGAATGAGCAAAGTGAAGGAGTGAGAGATATTATTAACACCGGAAGATAAATTCATATCCTCAAGCAGACATGTAGTGTTCTGTCTATGATATAAATTTTGATCACTTATTTAGATAAAAGACAATTTAAAAACACATTTCAAGAGCTCCAAATGCAGAAATCACGTCCACATAAAAATCAGCTTGTAGAAAAGCTTCTTAAGCGATCGAAATAAGATAAAACAAAATCTCAGAATGGAAAATTCTCCCCTCCCAACTTAAGGTTGAATTCAGCCCAGGTGATGTATTTGAATGAAATAAAGCCTTTGTGAAAAGTAAAACTACCAGTTTGTTTAACCTAGTTACCATGGCGACTTTCTTATTTTCACCTGCGAAGATGTAAATGGTACATTTATTGCGCCCGATGAAGATAACACATCCTCGAAGCAGGAAAAAATCTGATTTTTCATCGATGTCTGTTTAATAAGAAGGATTTCATGTGCGATAAAAAAGAGCTCGGAGAAAATTTGCTTAACTTGGCGGCAAATAAGCTAAACAAATTGTTGAAACAACCACATTTGAATGTCATTCGTCCGACAGAATATTATTCGAGATCTTTCAAAATGTTTAGTTTAGCTGGAGCGTTGAACCTAAACTCTGACAATTCTTGACAGTTGGTTCATTTGACCGATTACTTGACTGAGCTGTGATAAACATTGTGCTCACTGTTACAAGTTTTCGCGATCATTTAATTTGATTTAATTCCGCGAAAAATCACATGGTCATTACATGTTCCGTGAGAGATGTCTCAATCAGATTTTAGTAAAAATCACTGCTAGTAATTTCATAGGATTTTTATTCAGGTAAGAATTCACAATAAAACGACTGAAATGCTAATAACAGAATACCGTTTATTTGGGCAGCTAAACTGAGAGAGCGCATTCTCTTCAGTCAATCTACAGCTCTGAGAATTTCTTGTAAAATCAAGAAACAACTTATCGATATTACCTTTCTGCTTGCCTTGGTGTTAAACCTTTAACTCCCATGAGTGACTAAGAAAGAATTTCTCCTTACAATATCAATGCACTATCAGGCAGACAAGTGACGAGAATAGAGAAAAATATCAAGTAGGGGATCATTAGTTGATCAGATACCAAATTCTCCAAACCAACATCACGAGAGCTACATGGCAGACAGTAGGGAGAATTACTAATGAGATCTCGGCAGTTAATGGTTAATGCTTTAAGGAGAAATTACTAATTGGTCACCCTTGGAAATGACGAGGTTAAATGAGGAACGACGAGGTCGTTTAAAGAAATATCTTAGCTCGTTTCAGTCTACCAATTGGATATGACTTATTTAGCGATTTTTTTGTAGAAATACTGTACATGTAAACTGCTTCAAAAAAAACAAGCTTTAAGTCTTCCTTCCTTCTACTAAATGTTCTAACTTTGGAATAGGGAGAAAAAAATGTACAGTTATTTTTTAAAAAAAATTAACATCTAAAGATTATTCATTCATAGAGGAAAATATCCACCACCTTCAATGTCACCGAAGTGAACCATTGTTTCAGTGATAATCACACAGAAACCAAAAAAAAATAGTTTATCTCTTTCCCTATACCGTAGAATTGTCAGAAATCAACTTTTGACATGCAATTTTGTCCCTTCGGCTACTCTGTGGGGAAAATAATTTGCTAATCACTTCCTAACCAATCAGAGTCCGCGAAAGCTAATTCGCCTGAGTGGTACATACTAACATAATGTTGTGCCTAGATCATACCGTTTAATTGTTACTGAAATGTGGAAAGTTTGGGTACAAGACTAATACTAACAGTGTTTTGACCAGTCATTATTCCTTATGAAGCACATTTACAATCAACTATGGTGGCTTGCTTTCCTCGCAGATGGGAAGTCATGTTGTTTTTCTCTCCAGATTGTGGAATTTCCATCATTCTATAAACTGGTTGACATTTCGGGTAACCGTAGGTAGGAATACTGCTCAAACAGCCAAAAGATGCCGAGTCACATTCTGTCACGAGGACGCCATTACGCACATTTATTTGGAGCACACATGGTTTGCCCACTGATTTTCGAGGGACTGGACTTTGGAGAGACGGCGGTGGAATGGTGACAAGTGTAAAAACAAGAAGTGGAACAACCAGAGCTGATAAACTCTAAATTGAAAAAAGGATAATAATTCTTAAGCAGCATATAATCATCCGCCTGAAATCTTTTCGCTTAACCAAAACTTAAGTGAACACAACGGCCACTCTGAACAAAGAAAAATGTCACATGCCATTATTAACGGCTTCGAGCGCGGGAAAAACCAGTGCCCAAGTTTTGATTGGTTACAAGGGTGGCACGAGTTTTCAAGACCAATCACAGAGTGCCGGAAGTAAAGCATGTCCACGACGCTCAACTGCGGAATAAAGAAGGGGGGAGGGGGAGGGGGAAAGGAACTCAAACACTTACATTCTCTCTTTACTTAAAACGATAGCCACCTTTCAAAAAGTTACATGAGCGATTTTCCACTTCCTTCTCCAATTACCTCTTTTAATGCCATTAAAAATTGTCAAAATCTCTCTTTTCTAAGTTCTTTATAATATAAATTCAAGCTGCAAAAATCCTTCAGTATTACCATCTAATTGGCACAAATTTCAAGCCAACTGTGATAAAAACCGCCCAACTGCTTTTATTGTTGACATGGAAAATAAGAGGTCGCATTGCCGTTAACCTTGTTGAATTCTTGTCATCTTGTTTTGATCGACTGCCCAGTTTGAAACAATAAACTGGCTTCTGTAATTAGAAAGATAAACTTTCCTCGATTGAACCTCGAACCAAATAAATGTCCATGATTAGCCAGATATATTTGTAATCGCTTAACAGGAAAAAACCTTTCTTTCTCATTATCATCAGAATCACTGACATAATAAGTCAGTGCAAAGACTTCATGTTTGCTTTCACCCGCATCCGTGAACTTAGCTTGCATATGCTCAAGCGCCGAGACATGGTACGCTCAGAATTCCAGCAGAAGGAAAAACTGTTCTGTGTCCTCCACAAACTTGAAACTGATAAGAATTCACGAATAAATGAACGAAAGGGTAAAATAGAATCGATTTTGCGGCGCCTCTTGACCGAAAGATGGCGATAAGATGAAGTGGGAACAAATATAGATGGGTGTATGGAGTCTAGAAAGCCGGTAGAACCATCCAGATTTATTACCATTCACAACACATCACATCACATCATCTCATACAATGCATTACCTTCATTTTGTCTGGTAATATCTCTGTAACTGAATGTGGATCGTTCTGTTCTTCGAAGGATACCGAGTGGATGGTGATTGTTCAGTCTGTTACTGTGTTAAGGAAACTGAGTTAGTATCTTCGAAGCTGTTCGTCAGGATGTCACTCAAACCTCACTCTGAACAAAGATTGGCGAGGATGTTGTACAAACTAAGTTATAATTTTTTTTTCAAAAGAGAACTATGCTAAGAATAGGCCATTATGTACCAAGAGGCTTCAATGATGACGATAGGTTAAACAAACGTTCTTGAAGATCTCCATTTGTGATTTTTAGGCGGTTTAGTTGAAATGAAACCAGGAAGTCGTTCATTTTAACCTTTCTTCCTACAGGACATCTATGTAAAAGGTGTCATTACAATCATAATTACTTTCGTGAATGTTTAAAACCTTTCACTGCTTTCTTGATGTAGTTTACAGATTAAACAAAATGAATACACACTCATAACCCGAAAATGGCTGGAGCTAATAGCGGTGAGATGTATAAACATATTTAGCAAAATTATAACATTTGAATTGTTGTACAAAAAGACAAGAAAAACTGCGAAAAGAACACAGCATAATACGTCCAGTGACAAAGACACGAAAGGGACCTAGATAAATTAACTAGATAAATGCCAAGGTATTCAACATTCGAGATTTCTGATTCAGTGCTATGGATCTAAATAAAGCACAAACGAGAGAGAAAAACAACGACGAGGAACTTTCTTTTCCCCATAACACATAATAAATTCAACAATATATATTAATTCCATTCTATAATAAATGTGCAAGGGGCACTTGCACCCACAATAACCATGAAACTGGGTGCCAGTATGCATTTAAATCTATATAATCTATACATCACACGCATACAAAACGCAACTGCAACATACGATGTTTACTCACCTAGTGAAACAATCAAAACCGATCGTCTTGTATGGTCTTCTTTTGAATTTAATGTTCCCTCGCTCAATACTGTCGATAATATAATGGTTTCAAACCTTCAGTTGAGGTCTATAAATACCACTTCTGAGGCGTCTTGTTTGTCTCGAGTTTGACACTGATTTCCTGCAACGAAAGCCTAGAAAAACAATACTTGATACGCTTCAACCAGATCATATCCGCTTACTACTGTAGTAAATGCAACTGACTGATTTCTGGAATGATTAGGAACTTCCGGTTTTAAATTATGTTTATTGTGGCACGCTGCGTGTAATGTTTTCCATGTCTATTTCCACTTAATATTTCTGTAAACGAGAGAATTAATGTTTGAACAATCATGCGCTGACGCTTTGAATCTGAATCTAAAAGATTCCATTTCTCTACTTACAGATAGGCCATCGAAAAGGAAAATGTAACCTGCTAGGAAAACAGGCCACTGCTTCTGAAGCAAGTTTACTTTCGAAGCACGTTTTTGCACATTTTCAATCATTACTTCCCAATGACGCGTTCATGCTACATCCATCCCAGTGAAAATGCACGTGCAGTAGGAAGTGGATATTCTCGAATCCTGACCCTGTTGTAAACCAAAATCAGCCCAGCCTGGTTACGTGCTATTTCCGTTTCCTGACCTGCCAAGATTCCGGAAGCTTTAAATGAAGTTGAACCCTACATTCTGTTCAAAGGAGCTGGTGCAAATTGTGCTCTTGTGGATATCTATGTAGTTTCACTCTCTGCTTTCTCGCTTGCCGCAAATTACGAAAGCTTTAAAACACAACATCATTTCACAAATTAAAATTATCGAAGCCATTTATCTTGTTTCAAACCCAAACGAAAAGTCAACCTCTAGTTCCTCTTCCACTAAGCTGGGAATACGTCTCCAGGAGAGCGGATTACGTTTAATTTTTTTCATCCCATTTATTGATTCTTCAAAAATCTTAACTTCTTGGCCCAAAAGCTCTTAACTTCCATGTTTTCATGGAAGTCGGCTCATTCAATCTGTTAGCAGTGGTCGAAACGGAAGATGTGCAAGTCGGAAGTGGGAATATGAGACCTCAAGATATTTTCCGCGAAAGGAATACAGCTCAATAGGATTTAGGGTTGGTAAGCAAATACCGTTAGCTAATCGAGTTTGAGGTCTGTACTGTAAGTTACCGATCGTGTTTTTTTCCGATCGGATATAAGGCCGAAGCGAGAAGCGCACCTGCCAAAAACGACATTTTAACAGTTTTAAAATACACAGAGACTTTGTTCTCTAACCATCGCTTCATCTTTCGGGTTTGTCCGTCTTCTTTTTCCCTTGGAACTGAAGCTGTATCTTTCACGTTAAACTTTAAGATCATGTGACGCGGAAGTAGCTAACGGAAGTAGAAAGAAAATAATGTACGTCACTTCCGCTGAGCTGCCTCACACCCGACTGATCCGCTCTTGAAGTGCGTGAGTATTTATCTGCTTAAAAGTTAGAAAGTTACAATGATAAGAGCTATATTTATTTCAGCGATAAGAATGCGGCGGTCTCAGCAGAAGAGGAACACACGCATATCCGCTTTATCAAGGTGCTTCCTTGCAGCACAACACTGTCAACTAAATAAATCAAACAGTAGAAGAAACTTAAAAAAAATAAATAAAAAAAAAAAAAAGCAAAAATAAAGGCCATTCTTTGTAACACCACCCAAAATTTAAACTATTGAACTCAACCAAGTTGGTATTTAGACAATTCGTGAACGATAAAAACGAACACTAGAGACCAAAATCATACTGTGGTGTGTGTGTAAAAAAAGATACTTGTATCTAAAGTCGGACACTATTGTCCAAAATCGGATACTAATGCTTGAAATGCCTCAGAGCGGACACTCGTTTTTAGGATTGAACAATATTATCTAAATCGGACACTACTGTCTAAAATCGGAATTGGTCACTCGCGTCCAATATAAGACGCTGGTGTCCAGAATAGGGTGGTAATGCTTAAAATTGGACACTAGTGTCTGAAATCGGCCACGAAGAGTCTAAAATCGTTCACCAGTTTTTTAAAAATCGAACACTGTTGTCTAGAAACGGACCTCGTTGTTCAATTCTGCTAGCGAACTTCAGAGGGGAAAAGGTTCCAAAGAAACTGTGGTGCTGTGTTGGTGGGGTAGTATAACAAGATAATTTGGTTTTATCAATTGAGTTGATAATAAATTGGTCAACGTAAAGAGTTTCTAAACTAATGTCTCGAGCGTTAGCCAGGAGGACTTCTGGGGACGAGATGGATAGACTGCCGGTAATGGTCAGCGGACTGCGTTATTGGCATACGCACGGCCAACGTTTGGCAGCCATCTTGATTCTTCTCCCTGCAAACTGTCTCAATCGACCCACACTACGCAACGCTTTTAATTTGATCCAGACAAGTAACAAGCTATAGTGACGAGGAGTAGGTCTGATACAGCATCATGGCTGATGCTACGGCCAGATCGTTGCAGTATGAGTACAAAGCGGTGAGTTTATGAAGGATTTTTGCAGCGTTTTGAACCACGTGGTTGTAGAATTGGACAAAAATTATCATCGTCAGCTCGTTGCAGCCTTTTAGTGCAATTGGAACAAGTAACCATTAGGAACAAGAGAAGGGCAACAGTTATAACGTGTATATCTATTTATCGCGAGCTCTAAGCCGGACTCCACTAATGTCATATCCTACATTCGCAGCGCTAATTATAACTACAAGTGTTATCCTGAACACTTTTATTCAAATTCGTCAAAGCGAAATCAGCTTGGCGTAATTAATGATTTTGAAAAATTTTCGCCATATTCTTTACTGCATGCATTTCTGCATGGACAAAGATGCTTTCAGCAGTTTGACGGAATCATGTCACCTGCCCATCGCAGGATAGAATTTCTTGGAGCTCAGTAGTAAACCGTTGATTTGTAGGTGTAAGAGTTTCTTTTGGGGAATTTGGAATTTTTACTTCTGGAATCATGCTTCTGACAAGACAAATATACATCTTTCATTATTTCATGGCCTAGCTCAAAATTTGTCTTCTATCACATTCTATTACCTGAACCTAAGTTTTGCATAATAAAATTTCTGACAATTTTTTATCATCCTTCTCATATGATTATGTATTTGGTCAAAAGCTGATGTTTCAAGCATTAGCCCTTCATCAGAGCTCTGAAAAAAGGCTAATGCTCAAAAAGTCAGCTTTTAAACTCTTTACAGTGGCCAATTTACAAGATCAACTCAGTTGATAATACTAAATTACCCTGTTAAACTCTCCTACTGACACAGCACCACAGTTTCTTTAGCAACTTACCCCCTTAATGATTATGTATTTGTTTGTTTCCAGAACTCTAATCTTGTGTTGCAAGCTGATCGTTCCTTGATTGAGCGGCGAGGACGTGATGAAGCAACAGGAGAGGTTGTGTCCCTCGTGGGTCACATCGGGGGAATCAAAATGGGTGACAAGTACCAAAGAACAAAACCACCTGTATCAGAAGAGAAAAAGGCCAAGTAAGTAAACTGTTATGGGTACAGTTTACTGTACATCCACCACAATACAACTAGCTATTTTTATTTTGATTTCTGAGGGGTATCTGACATGCAATAATCACTCTTTTTAGGAGAGAAATCATTTTGCTGTATGTGCTGAAGAGTTTGACCCCCCCTAAGAGTGACTAGCATCTAATTTTTCCTTGCATTATCCCTCCCTGAATCACTCATCGAGGTCACGAGAATGAAGGAAATGAACATTAACAAAAGAAGCTCTTGATTGTTACACAAATTCTCCTTGTCAGAACCTTAAGAAATGTTTAGAGAACAGTGATGAGAATGTACACACTGATGTTAGGGAGTAAAGGGTTGATATGAGCTTCTTCTCTTGTAGACGTCAGAAAATGATGGAGAAAGAAGACTTTACCAAGAGCAAGACCAGTAGCAGTCTTCTGTCAGATGAGTCATCAGACTTAGCTGGTGTTCGATACAGGCCAAAAACCAGGGAAACCAAATCCACATATGAGGTCCTCTTGAGCTTTATACAAGCAGCTATTGGTGATCAGGTAACTATGAAGATGTGTGCTCTGTTAAAACACTGCATCTCTGAGGATTTTTGTTGCTATTTTTTTAGAAGACATTATTGTGAACAGAACATTTCCTTATACTGTATGTATAACTTATAACCACAAGAACTTTCCTGGATACTGGTAGATGTAAATGTGCTATTTTTCGTTGAATTTTTTTTTTTTAACCCAGCCACGAGACATTCTTTGTGGAGCTGCGGATGAAGTGTTGATAGCTTTGAAAGATGACAAGCTGAAGGTATGATGTTCATGTAATTTAGGGCCTACTTAATATATAATTGGTTATTAGTAAATTCCCTTGAAACCTGACTGACTGGTTTTCATACTTCTTTGAGAAATGTGAAGGAAAAAAATGCTAGGTTGACCATTTGTGCAAAATGTTCTGCCTGAATTTTGGTGGCCTGAGCTAATTATTTTCTTTAGTGATTACACATGTACAGGTGTATGTGGGCTATTTCTGTGTTACTTTATGCCATTTTCTTCCAACTATATTCTGTAATTAAAACTTTGATAAAGTAGAGCTTTCTGCAAGATTACAGCTCTAAGCTGTACTGTATGTTTTAGTGCTTGTTGGTATCATCAAGTCTACTGTATTCCTCTCTGAGCTTACCACAGTCATGTGATTGTTCCATGTGCCTGTTTAATGTGGAGAGGGAAATTCACCTATCCCTTGGGAAGTTATCCAAGCCAATTTATTAATAATTTGCTTGGTCCTTGAAAGGGTTAAACAAGTTCTTTGAACAAATGTTAAGTTGCAGTGTATGCGTATTCTTGTCAATATTTTACCAAACACACAGACTTTTGCTTTTGAATGATTGTCATTATTTTAGTGTAACATATGTAGCTATAGATTTACTTCATGCAAAATTAATGGTTTTATGTCAGGATAAAGAACGACAGAAAGAGATTGTGTCCCTTCTTGGTGGAATGCCTGATGAAAGATATGCCTTATTGGTGAACTTGGGGAAAAAGATCACAGATTACTCTGTTGATAGGAGTTTACTAAATGATGGTGATTATATATTTATTTTTAGCACTATAAGTTCCAATTTTTTACCTAATTCGATTTCTCTTGATTATTTTTTCACAACTTGCTTTTTCATTATTTGAAGTAGTAAAAGAAAACAGTAAAAGTAAAACTTGCTGATCAAAATGATTAAAACAAACCCATGCTTTACCTGATTCTGAAGAAAGCCATGTGGATTATTTGGTTTATGATAATGATCAGTGAGGGATAAGGATTAGTATAATAAATTTAACCCTTTACACCGTAACATCAATATGCATACTCTCTATACTGTTCTCTATACATTGCCTGAGGTGCTGACAAGGAGAATTTGTTGAACAATCAAGGGTTTCTTTAGTTGGTGATCATTTCCTCAATTCTTGTGACCCTTGTATGTGATTCAGGGGTGATATTGTAAGGAGAAATTACAGTTGTAGATGTTTGTCACTCTTTGGGTTGAAAGGGGTAATCCTTGTTCCATTCTTCCATGCTGGTTCAAGACAAGCATTTGTTCTTTTTCTTGATACAGACGAGGTTATTGATGAGACATATGGTGTGGCTGTACAGTTTGATGAAGAAGAGGAAGAGGTAATTTAAAACATAAAATGTGATAAAAACTTGCGCTAACATCCTTGTGCTGTCTTAGGTGGCCATACATACACACAAACACATTCAAGTTATTGACAACTGACATGCTAAGGAGTATACTTACTACAGTCAAACCTTGATTATCTGGACTTGTGGGGACTGAATAGCCTGCACAATTGCAAGTCCATATGATCGAAAAATATGAATATCAGTGAGCCAAAAATAAAACTGAATGACTCAAAAGAGAATACATGTCATTTAATTATTATTATGCATGGATTAAAGTACAGTTACAAATCATTGTGTATAAACTGTTAACATTTGTCAAAAGTGTTTACAAAAAGTTGTTCAATAAGCTACATGTAACCAACAGCCTAAAAAAATGGAACCTGAGAAGAAATTTTGATCATTCAAAAGTCAGAATAATGGAAAAATCCTGATAACCTTGGTCCATAACGTGAAAGGTCTTTTTCACAAATTACAGGAAGATAAAGACTTTGATGAGGTCCGTGATGAAGAGCCCAGTGATGAAGAGGAAGGAGTAGAGGCTGATACAACCATGACTCTCCAGGGAGGGGTAAGATATTTTTTATTAAATGTTTTTAAATGTTCCACAGTGTCTGTTACCCTTAATTTCTTAAGGGTGGCTTACATATTTGCATGTGCTACATGTATTTGTGCATTTACCCGTACAGGATCCCAATTTTATTTAAATGTGAACTGTGAGTGAAATTTGAATCATACTAACAGTAGTTTATAAGCAATCCTGCTGAGAGCTTTTTGAAAGCTACTCTTTGATTTTGAGGTCTTAAGGTTAGAATCTTTCATAGAGACTACAATGTCCTCTTTGCCTTATCTTGAGAAAGATTTATGTGAGATATTAGGAAATGTTTTTAGTAAATTTGTAGTTAATTGCAATCTTAGGTTAATTTTTTTGTTGTTTCTCATGCAGCTTGAAGAAGACAGAGCTCAAAGAACAGGTGATGTTCTTCATCCTCGAGACATTGATGCCTTTTGGCTGCAGCGAGAATTGAACAAGTATTATGCAGATGCTGAGGCTTCAAGATCAAAAGCTGAAGAAGTCCTGGAGATCCTGAAGAGTGCAAAGGATGATCGTGAGCTGGAAAACAAAATGATGCTTCTTCTTGGACATGATAAGTTCTCTTTTATCCGGTTACTGCGGAAGAACAAGAGTATGGTGCTGTATTGTACACTGCTTGCAACCGCACAGAGTGCAAAGGAAAAGAAAGAGATTGAAGAGAAGATGAGTGCTGATCCAGATTTGGCCTCCATCTTGCATGCACTGACTGAGACAGAACAAGAAGATTTAATTCAGGTCAGACAACTTCAAAACTTTAACTTACAAAGCATATCTAACCCTTTATTTATTTTATTTAGTTTTTAAGGTATTGTTAACTCTTTATTTTTATTGAAATTATGTTTACAATTGCAAAAGGAGAGCCAGCAGAGAAGAACTTAATCTTTATCTTAAGCTGATCCCCAGACCTAAGAATAAACTCTAATTAGTGATATGCTATAAGATAAAACTTAATCACAATTGACAACAACAAATATTTTTTACTTGGGTGATCAAGTATACTGAAATGATTTTTACTTGTTAACAATGATATCAAGAGAAAAAAAAACTAAGGGGCACTCAAATGCTTATGCAGAAGGTTCTTGAATTTTTGAGCATTGTCTGCCCTGATAACATTGATTAAAGGGAACAACAATGTTATTTAACTCCAATGAACTGATTGGTATTACTTCATGTTGTTTGCTGCTGGGTTTCATTTTGTATGTGGTACAATTTTTGTTGGGAAATAGTGTTAACCCTTTAAATCCCATGAGTGACCAGGATAGAATTTCTCCTTAATAAACCGATACAAGATCAAGCAGATAAGTGATGAGTATAAAGAAAAATATCAATTAGGGGATTGTTAGTTAATGCAATACCAAATTCTTTAAACCAACATTGTAAGATTTGTATGACAGACAGTAAGGAGAATTACTGAAGAGATCTGGGAGTGAAACCATAACGTGTCAGGAGGATTTTCTTTATGTCTTGATAGTGATCTGTCTACCTCACCCATGTGGAACCCTCAGCACAATGGTGATCTCTAACCTGGCTAGTGATGAAATAAAATAAAATAATCATGAATAATAATCTTGGTATTTTTTGTTGCAGGAGGAAAGAGCTCGCAAGGCAGCCAATAGGAAAGCAAGAATTGCAGCAGATTTGGATGCATTTGAATCTGATCAGGTATTATTGTCATTGTTCATTTGAATATTTAAGACTTTCTCTTGGTTTAGCGGCATTATTACCCATTTGTTAGGCGAATGAGGTAATGTAAACAAACCACAGACCGAGAGGCACTACTGTGTAAAGTTGAAATTTTTCTTACCTTACTGGCATGGTTTTGACTGACACAACACATTCCAGTAATATTTTCAGTGTTTATGGTTTTCTCGGTGTTGCAGTAAAATTCTTTATTGATACACAAAGTAGTATTGATCTTTGCCTTAAGAGAACACTCAATTTTATAACTTTACTTAAAATATAATCAGTGAGATTTTCTTTTCCCCATCAGACTCGTGGTAGCCGCAGAATTTTAGATCTGGAAGATCTAGCATTTAAGGATGGGAGTCATTTAATGGCCAACAAGAAATGTCAGCTGCCTGATGGATCATTCAGAAAACAAAGAAAAGGTTATGAGGAAGTTCATGTTCCAGCTTTGAAACCCAAACCGTATGAAGCAGGAGAGGTGAGGATGTACTTAAGATCAAAGCAGTTTTTCTCCCTTCTGGTTGTTGCCCATCTCCTGGTGGACTTAAAAAGAGAATTTGGTGATAGATTGATGTTATTTAAACCATTCAGCTGAGAAGTTAGTCTTCTCTCATCATTTTTTTGTTGGAGAATGTTGTGAACATGGTGCAAAGAGAAGTAACTAGTGAATCACATCCAGAAAATAAAGTGTTGTGCTATAACCCCTGACTACATCTCTGTTAACCCTTTCCACCCTAACATCAGTATGCATATTCTCCATACTGTTCCCTATACATTCCCTAAGGTGCTGGTGAGGAGAATTTGTTTCATAATTCAGAGCTACTCGAATTGGTAACCATTTCCTTTATTCTCATTACCTCAATGTGTGATTTGGGGCTGATATTGTAAGGAGAGATTAGATGCTAGTCACTCCTAGGGATGAAAGGGTTAAATGGTGTCTTCATTGTCGTAAGAAGTTTTAGCAACATGTTGTCTTGGCAATTTTGAAGAATTTGGTGCTAATAAATGACATCCAGATTATTAGAAGATTGCTATTTGTTTTGGAGGATTAGTTTAACAAGTTCTATAACTGGAACATATGAGATTTTGTTCAAAAGTTCCAAGATAATTTCAGAGTATTTGATATCAGAAGTGACAACCATTAAAGTTCAAGTTGGCATGGACTGTGAAAATGGTCAGTTGGCAATTATGTAGCTTACCAATGTGCAGAGTTTGGACAGTTATATCAATCTTTCAACAAATGAATTTGCCAACTTTTGTTTTCGATATTGTTAATTTCCCCTATGTGTCTAAATTAAGTAGGCTGAATGATGAAGTTCCTATCCTCAATTTTCAGGAGCGAGTCTCTATCACAAGTCTTCCTAAATATGCACAACCTGCCTTTGAGGGCTATGAATCTTTGAACAGAATCCAGAGCCGATTGAGCAACTCAGCTCTAAACACTGATGAGAACCTGTTGCTTTGTGCACCAACTGGAGCTGGCAAAACCAATGTGGCTCTATTGACCATCTTGAGGGAGATTGGCAAGCACATCAACCTTGATGGTACAATCAATCTGGAGGAATTCAAAGCTATTTATGTTGCACCCATGAAATCTCTTGTACAGGAAATGGTTGCAAATTTTACCAAGGTTAGACAACTTCAGAAAAAATTTTAAGTATTTAACTATTTCAGGGTTGCATTGTTTTGCTTTATTGCGCTCCATGATTGGTCAAGGAAGTATGTGCTATGTTCTTAACCAATCAGATGCAAAACTGAAACTAATTGTGGCTTGGTCTCTCTTCCTCAGTCAAAATATTTCTTTTGTACACATTTTTTTAAATTTTCATTTAGGGAACTTATATACGTTGTTTCTAACATTTTGTGAACTGATCTTTGGAATTTGTAACTAAAAAGGGTCTCTTTTTTTTTCTATTTTTTACATGGTATCACTTTCAGATCACACAATAGATGCATACTTTTTCAGATTTTAAAGTGACGAAGTGTTTGTCAAAATTTAGTTAAGGCAATGCTAATGGGACTAGTTACTTTTTTTTGTTGAAAATGTTCAGTAGGTCCTTGTGTTGTTTTATGGCCTGATTAATTTTTTAATTTTTCTTCATTCAGAGACTCAGCACATATGGAATAACAGTGTCTGAGTTAACAGGAGATCACAACATGAATAAGGAGCAGATCAACAGCACTCAGATCATTGTCTGTACCCCTGAGAAATGGGACATCATTACCCGCAAGGGAGGAGAGAGAACATTCACACAGCTTGTCCGCCTCATCATCATTGATGAGATTCATCTTCTTCATGATGATCGTGGTCCAGTTCTAGAATCTCTTGTTGCACGCACCATTCGACAGATAGAAACAACCCAGGAGCTTGTGCGACTGGTTGGGTTGAGTGCCACTTTACCAAATTACGAAGATGTTGCAACCTTTATGCGTGTGAATCCTGCAAAGGGTTTGTTCTTTTTTGATAACAGCTTCAGACCTGTTCCACTGGAGCAGCAGTACATTGGTGTCACAGAGAAGAAACCAATAAAAAGACTGCAGGTAGAGACATGTACCAGTGGCCTTTGAGTAATGATTGCTGATGACAGGCTTTGGCCTATTTTGTCAATGAGAGCGACACTGTTAATTGTTTGTATTTTTGCCCTTCATTTTTGACTCATATTGAGGTAGAACCCCTCAAATTGTAGATCCAAATATAGGCATTGTTTCAAGAGAAATCAAACACAATTTGAATACATTTGAATACTATAACAAATCACAGGAAATTGCTGAGTTTGAATGTGTGATTCAGTTGGCATTGTTATGATATTGTCACATTAACTATTTTTTTTATTTCTTTAACTCCCAAGATCTGATTATTTATTCTCCCCTCTAGCTGCTACACATTTTCATGTAAATTAGTAATGAGAATTTGGTGATAGATCACATAACAACTTCTAACTGATAAGTTTGAGTATTCTCAATACTGGTTTGTTGTACAATTTATGGATATTGTAGGGAGAAGTTACATTTTAATCACTTCTGGGGGGTTAAAAAGTGTTAATGAGGAATAACTTTGTGTTTCAGGTGATGAATGATGTTGTTTATGAGAAAGTCATTGAACATGCAGGAAAGAACCAAGTGTTGATCTTTGTTCACTCAAGAAAGGAGACCAGTAAAACAGCAAGGGCCATAAGAGATCTTTGCCTGGAAAGAGACACTTTGGGACATTTCTTGAGGGAAGACTCGGCAAGCACAGAAGTGTTGAGGTTGGTATTGATATTTTACATCACAGACTTACATCCTCAACAAGCTTACATTCTACATCTATCAACTTTCCCAATTTTTTTTCCACTCTAATTTTTAAGAGTTTATCATCAGATGAACATGATTCAAGTGAAATATTTGCTCATGTCTTAGCACTTGGTTGGTATATACAACGAACCCTATACGTTGGTTAGTATAATTTGCTTAAGGCAGCAAAGGTCTATGCACACTGTACTTGTACTGGTGTAGCCATACATGTAAACTTCATTCTTACTATACATATGTACAGAGGGTATCTTTCCTTTATGATGCATTAATGAGGATTTAAAAAAAAAGTTGCAACATAGTAAGGATGTGATATGTGGAAACCTCGAGAAAAGAGAGGTGTGGATAGTTTTCATACATGAACATGACACAGGATTGTAAATGTAGACTTCCATTGAAACAAGTGTCATAACTTGAATTTTGAATTTGTTGAGTACACCCATGCTTTTAATGAAAAGTGTTCTTCTTGAATATTGTATTTTAGAACTGAAGCTGAGCAAGCTGTGAACTTGGAACTCAAGGATCTGCTCCCTTATGGTTTTGCTATTCATCATGCTGGTATGACAAGAGTGGACAGAACTCTAGTAGAAGATCTCTTTGCTGACAGGCACATCCAAGTGTTAGTCTCCACAGCCACGCTGGCTTGGGGTGTGAACTTGCCTGCACACACAGTCATCATAAAGGGAACACAGGTGAGAATTTCTTTCTATGGCAGACAGTTACAGATAAACTCAGTGCTAAGCTGCCAAGAACTCTTCTGCAAGAAATGTGATAGTGACAAACAGGTTCATACATTTATGTGAGAAGTGTTCTATGCACTTTTAGGATCAGGAATGTGGTAGAAACAATAATGATGATGATGAAAACAACTTGATTTTTGTGTCTAACGGCTCTAGCATCAGCAAATGGCAGGCACCTGAGTTACAATAACAATCCTCCTGACCTAAAGTTCCAGTTAAATTACTTACAATCATATCAAGTACATGTTACTAAGATAAATCTCTATTCAGTTAAAAGAAAATCTATTCTGCAAAGTTCCAAAATAAGAAATTATATTTACTGTACATACAATTAATTGAGAGAAAGGCAAATCCCTAAGATGCACACTTTTGACAGAGGCACTTCTGATCTAAAAGTTCACCTAAGCATGTTCATGTTGTTCAAAGACAGTATTTGTGATGACAGGAGTTGTACATTTAGGATGCTTGTTACATAAGGAGAGTAAATTACTAACAAAAAAGTACAATAAACTGAAGGGCGGACTGTTGAATCAAAGATCATTTAAATGATCAACTTTACATTTTTCATGTCAAGTGAAATACAATTTTCTACAGCAATAGCAAAATTAATGCATACAGTGAATAACAGAAGACATTAGAATACACGAATTTGTTAAACCATTGCATGTTTGTTATGTTTCTGTGGCACATATGTTCCTATGCACTCTGATGGACATGTAATTTACACTTATTAAATGCACTTGATGCACATGGGGGGTTGCTGCAGTATGCACAAGTGGTATTAAACATGTAAGTCTGTTGCATGTGCAAAAGCTATGAAATCAAACATTGGTCAGTGTATTGCTTTGATTTGTGTGCAACAATCCCAAAGATAGGCAGCAACATAGTCTTTGATGGAGCAGTTTTGTGCTTTTGCAGATCTACAATCCTGAGAAGGGTCGCTGGGTGGAGCTGGGTGCACTAGACGTGATGCAGATGCTGGGGCGCGCAGGTCGTCCACAGTACGACACCAAGGGAGAAGGCATCCTGTTAACAAGTCACAGTGAACTGCAGTATTACCTTTCACTCATGAATCAACAGGTGACTCCAAGGATCTGATGATTAACCCTTTATAGCCTAACATTCAGGGGGGATTTTGAAAGGAGGAATTAGATGCTAGTCACTCTCAGGGATTAAAGGGTTAATTTGCTCCCCTCTTGTTGCTATGTATCCCCTTGTAACTTGATGTTGTGTCAAGTAAACATTCTCCACTTGATAGGGTTGTTTATTTTTTCTATCTGTGGCTGAAAAGTTTAATGAGATTTTTTAGGAGAAGTTCTATGCTGATCGCTTGTGGGGGTTGAAGGGCTAATGCTTGTAACTGCACTTCTCATGGAAACACAATTATTTGAAATATTCTGGTCAGCCTTTAACTCCCACATGTGACCAAGGCAGAATTTCTCCTCCCAATACCAATACGACATCAAGCAGACAAGTGATGAGAATAATGAAAAATTATTAGTTGATCCAATACCAAATTCTCCAAAGGAACATCATGAGAATCGTCTGGCAGACAGTAAGGAGAATTTCCTCTGAGATCTGAGGGGGTGGTAGGGGTAGATTTTTAAAATGATTGAAATGCAGATGATGAATAAACCATCATTGATTATTCTTCAAATTATAACAGAATTCTTGTAACAGGGGGAAGTTACATGTAGCTTTTTTTTGTGTTCATATTTAACTCTTCAGGATACAGTTTTCAATCATTACAGCCAGTCTCAGATACACAAGTCCTGTTTAGTCATCTAATTAAGTGATTTATCTCCTTCAGTTGCCCATTGAAAGTCAGTTTATCAATAAACTGGCTGACAATCTCAATGCTGAAATTGTCCTGGGGACAGTGCAGAATGCTAAGGAGGCTGTGCATTGGTTAGGTGAGATGTGGCATCTTTGTGATCTAAAACTGAGTCTTCCTCACATTTTTGGAATTATGGAGCATGTAGAACTGCTTTTAATTATTGATTTTATTACTCTTTTTCATCAGGGTACACTTACTTGTATATTCGAATGCTAAGAAATCCTTCCTTGTACGGGATCTCTCATGATGAGATTGAAAAGGACCCACTTCTTGAACAGGTTTGGGTTTTTAAATGTAAAGCTTCATGGCATGCAGTAGGCACATTTTAGTATGTCAGCCAATATTTTCAATTAAAAAATATTTGCCTGGAAACTGATTTGTCATTGAAATTAATCCAAAGCTTTAAATTGATCCTTGTTTTCTTGAGAATGGCTCTTGCAGATGCTGACCCCTAGCGAGTGGTTGTGTGGGCTGATCTTCCTCTGATTGTTTTGCCTTTGAAGCAACATTTCGCTCAAAAAAGCTAAGATTTTGGAAGAGAAATTGTAGATAAACTGAAGCAAATTAGCTTGCTTGAATTCAACCATTACCGAGCTCAATGTTCATGTTGATTTGTAAATGCGAGGTTACAGCATAGTTGTTTAGTGCAGCGCATTTTATTGAATAATTTGGTGCAATTCTGGGCGCTTCAGGAAATTTAAAAAAATTGGTCCCTGAACATTACAGTTTTACTTTGAGTCAGAAATAAATAAATAAATAAATAAATAAATAAATAAGCAAAAAGTAGAGTCAGATGGAGAGTTTAGAAGACACAATTGTAACTGTACTATGTCTAAATTGATGATTTAGCGAAGGGCGGACTTGATTCATTCAGCAGCTTCTCAGCTGGACAAAAACAACTTGGTGAAATACGACAAGAAATCTGGAAACTTTCAGGTGAGATGGAAAGTCTGATTTTTTGTTTTTAATTGGCTCTTTTTTCTTTTCTTCAGTTTTGCATTAATTTTTGTACACATCATTAATAGCTATTCTTGATTTTCCTTTCAGGTGACTGAATTAGGTCGTATTGCTAGCCATTATTACTGCACCCAAGAAACTATTGCCACATACAACAGCCTGCTGAAGCCCACTCTGAGTGAGATTGAGCTGTTCAGAGTGTTTTCTCTGTCTTCTGAGTTCAAGTACATCACTGTTAGAGAGGTAGACCGATAAATGAAATCAAAATTAAACGTTATGTAAATGTGAGTTAGGTGTCCTTGGCAGCGGTCTGGGAAAGAGGTCTGGGTTTGAGACTGGGGCTTGTCACTGAAATGAACTCTTGCCATGCCTCTCTCCATCTAGGAGTATGAACGGGTATACAATGTATTTCTGTTTAACCGGGGACCTTTTAATGAGACCTGATGAAATCGTTTGGGATTTACGTATGATAGAATGTCATCCTATCTAGAAGGGGGAAGGGGAGGGGTGGGTAGCAGTGCCTCCAGTAGCTATAGAAACCGTGATTGGCCCTGGCTATTTACGCCACTAGGTTTGTGATCCAATTTGATCCTGGACATGCAGATTGGACAATTACAAGAATTTGTATCATGAGTTTAAATATAACGTCATTGCGATTTAATTTTTTCCCACCAGGAAGAAAAGCTGGAACTGAACAAGCTGTTAGAACGTGTTCCTATCCCTGTCAAGGAGAGCATTGAAGAGCCGAGTGCTAAGGTATTTTCATTTTGTAAACAGTTGCACAGCTGTGAGAGTTTGGGACGTGTGTTGTTCAAGTTATTCTGCACGTGGTGTTGTGATGATACTGTGTCTAGTTTTTAAGATGAAAATTTCGGTTGTTTTGCTCGTTTAGTAAGGTGCTGTTTTTTTCTTAACCCCTTAACCCCTAAGACTGACGAGCACTTAAATTCTCCTTACAAGATCACCCTTGAATCAAACTTTAAGGTCACAAAAATAAGGAAAATGATCACCGACTATTAAGAAGCTCTTGATTGTTAAAAAATTATCCTTGTCAGCAGCTTAGGATTTATGCGGAGAACAGTATTTAGAATGCTCATACTGATGTTAAGGTGTAAAGGATGAAAAAATAGATTCTATGTTGCTGTGTATCTGTTCAGCGATAGATCAAAATGACGTCCAAATGTGGCAAAATGTGTGGCACATGAGGCGCAGCCAAGTGTCACTGATGTTCTCGCTACAATATGCCGTCTTCTCTGATCTGTTACGGTACAGACCCCGAGACCCATTTATTTTAAATGATAAAAAAGCAAAATGTTGGTAATGGTTACGTCACCTATGCGTCTGTTCTGCAATAGATCGCAGATCAGCTTATCATGTAAAGTGAAATTGCACGTATGGGTAACCAAGGAGTGCCAATATTGTGCCAATATTGCATAAATAGCATTCCTGTAAAAATACCACATAAAACTTTTGTAATAATCATTGATTGAACTCGTGTAAGGATCGGCAATTCTGTGAATGTACTATGAACCCAAAGTGTCAAATTCCTGGATACCTTTCTTTGGTGTGCAGGGTCGAGTCTTTGGAACAGTGATACTTCAGATGGCATCTTTGGCAGTTGCGAGAACAACGTTCGCTGTAGCTGCCATATAGTTGTCTGAAGACATGGAAAATTTTAACAGAGTTTAGATTTCATTTGGGTATCGAATAGGAAATCCTCAACTGTTGCCTTTTTTTTCCCTCGCTCTTGACAGGTTAATGTGTTACTGCAAGCATACATCTCTCACCTGAAGTTGGAAGGTTTTGCTCTCATGTCTGACATGGTTTATGTCACACAGGTTAGTTTTTATGAGGAAAATGGGGTACGTTTCAAAAGAAATTGTGGTGCTGCGTCGGTGGGAGAGTATAGCAGGGTAGTTTAGTATAATCAGCTGAGTTGATGAGATAAATTGGCCACCGCAAAGAATTACAAAGCTGATGTTTCGAACTTTCGCCCTTCGTCAGAGTGATTGACGAGGTGCTAACGCTCGAAACTTCAGCTTTGAAACTATTTACGGTGGCCAATTTACGTTACCAACTGGCTTTTAATAGGTCAGGGCTCGGTTGTTCGAAGGATGGACAACGTTTTCCAGCGAATAAGTGTTAACAAAAAGTATAGCGTAATCCACCGGCTCAGAGATTTCTCCAATGGATAGCGTTATCTGCATCGGAACAATCGAAGCCAAGAGGTTTTTTCGAGTGTGGTAGCTATCTTTATAAAGTACTTCTTTGACGTTGAGTTCAAACAAAGCTGTGATTCAAGGTGAACGTTAAGGGAGAACTTCTTTCGACACTGTCTTACAATCAATATGTGGGGTATGACAGCCAATCAGAACAAGGAAAATATCACAATTAGCCAACGACACCTTGGGTTGAAAAGAAGCAAGCTACACAAGGCGCGGGAAAACATGTTACTTTTAGCTGTGCTTCTGATTGGCTGAGAGGGGGCGTGAGTTTTCTAGACCAATCACAAAGCATAGTGAAGCATGTTAATGCAATCCTTTACTGCTTTCGACACTCAGTTGAATTCTGTGCTGGTGCTTTTGCAGGGCCATTAGTTAAAGTGTAATAAATCTTTTCCTCCTTTGCAGTCCTCCGGGCGGTTGATGAGAGCCATCTTTGAAATTGTTTTGAACCGAGGCTGGGCTCAGTTGACGGATAAATGTTTGAATTTGTGTAAAATGATCGACAAACGAATGTAAGTAGGATATCCCCTTCGATAAATATTTTATATTTTTTTGTTTTGTTAGGATAGAACGTTTTGCTTACTTTGAACAGATTTAGTACCAAATTTGTGACTCCCAAACACATCACGTAGTCGTCGTAGTCGTCGTAGGGTCGAAAATAGACATCTTATTTACGATTTATACATGAGTAAGCTTATTTACCTAACTTGAAAAACTCCCAGAAGAAATCTGCTATTGTCAGAAGAAATGCGTTAGAGATGAAAACAAGTTTTTACTATTTCAGTTCATATAGTGCTGTTTACTAGTTTATCGTTAAGAAAAGGTTAAAAAGAGTTGTATGTGATGTAAAGTAGTTAGAGCTTTTAAGATTATTTTAAATCTAGTCTGCCTGTTATTCACAATAAGAGATATTGATATTTTCTATCAATCAAGGTGGCTTTCCATGAGTCCTCTCCGACAGTTCAAGAAAATTCCCATGGAGGTTATTAAGAGAATCGAGAAGAAGGAATTCCCTTGGGAGCGATACTACGACTTGGGAGCCACTGAGATCGGCGAGTTAGTGCACATGCCCAAAATGGGAAAGACGCTGTACAAGTTTGTACATCAGCTTCCAAAAATGGAGCTTGCGACCCATATTCAGCCCATAACTAGGTAGGTTGTGTATGGAATCATATTACAATTTTTCTTAGGACCTCCTTACGTGAAATCTGCTAACTTAACGGGCGCAATTTCGGAACGCTTTTTGTCCTCTGTTCATGTTAAAACTTCAACGCGGTTTTTGCATTGGTGTGGCTTGACCATATCCTGTAAATGGTAAAAAGAACTTATCAAGTTTTAGATTACAAGTCGTTCTTGTTATCGGGTGTTCTTACTGGTATCTAATTTTAAAAAAATGAAACTGTGTTGGTTTTGAATGCGAGAGAACCAAGAAGTTTTTCCTTTTGAAAATAGCATGTGCTAACCTTGGTCCTGTTCGGTCCTGCAAGGTCCTGCAAATCACTCTGGTGTTGTTAAAGGGGAAGTACGGTCTAGAAAAATTTTACTTCTATTAATAGAACTTTTCCACAGGAATTCGAAAATAGTTGCCGTTTTGTCCAGTTTGCTTTGCAATTACGACAACAGCGCTTTGAAGTTGCTCTTATCTACCACTTTCGCGACTAGAAAAACGCCATCTTGGATATGACGTCAGCTATGACGTAGCAATAGTCAAACCTTGTTGTTCATCGCTTTGACCTGGTTGACTTGATTGACCTTTCTGACGAGTATTTCTAATGAGGGTTTAACTATGGTCAACTGTCTTGTAGTTAACTGCCATAATACTTACAAAAATACAAAAGGGAAAGGAGTAAGCTTCCACAAGCTACCTGTAAATGAAAATTTAAAGAAAATTTGGCTGGCAAAAATAAAACGCGAGGACGCTCTGCCGAAACCCGAGAACTGCTACGTCTGGTCAGATCACTTTATCAAGGACGCCTTCAAGCGGAATATTCAGGTATGAATATTTGACCTTTGCTTCAAACTGAAAGCTATTTTTACCTTTCCCATACTCGAATTGTATTTTTTTCTTTAATTTTATTTAAAAGAACCTCTGTAATAGCAGCAAAACAAATTGAAACTCGCATCTGGGTAATTACGTCTTATTGATGCCACAACACACGAAGGAATCACGCGTCTGTTCGCTTTACCAAGTCTGTTATAAGTCCACCAAGTAAACTGTCTATAACCTGCCAATCGCATACTCCTAGGAAAAAACAAAAGACATTGATACATGCTCGGAACAGAACCCAGACAAATGCAGTTGAAACAAACAAATTCTACTTCGCCAAGCAGGGGCTCATTTGTAATGAGATCAATATCTTAAGCTAACATTGTGTGACAAAGGGAGACTTCCTGACGCTCGCCGTTTGACTAAGGCTCTGTTTACATGTAGCAAGTTTCCCTTTCTTATTTTCCCTCATTAAGTGATGTGATGATTCTCATAAGAACTCCTTCTTTCAATTTTGTCTCGTCCACGTCCATATTTACTCATAATTTACCTCCATTAGGAAAACAAAGCACACAAACTGAAGAGGTCTACTGGCTCTTTACAATTAAATATAGCGATGAAGTTCACCCTTCAGACAAAAGACTACAACACCACTTGTATTAAAAGGGCTGACAACACTGCATTTGTTTCTTAGGGTTCGCGTCACACGAATTCGTAAACAACTAAAGCGTTTTGTTTGCATGAATTTTGTGAAAAATATTTATTCTGTCGGTGCTTACTCATTTGACGGATAATCTTCAAGTCTGTCATTTCTCACATGGTGCATGCCAACTAGGGCTGTTCTCAAGACGTCCGCTAGTAACCACACGGGTCCAAATGATCCGTGCTCTGTAATACACTGAAGCTTATTACCTGCAATTTCAGTGATAGTTCATATCACTCAGTTAGCAGGGTGAAATAAATCCATTGCGGGCACTGCGCCGTTCTTTTGTAAAAAAATAAAAAATTATCACTTTAGAAACAAAGATTTTATTTGAGAAGAATTAATTACCTTCCAGATCGAGTCGATCACCTAGTACATCCATTTCTTGGCAGCATATACACTCGTTTTCTGTTGGCATCTCTTGACAGTTGCCGCAAGAGCACCATTCGCGATTTCCAAGACGTGAGCGCGTAAATGTTTCTTCTTGTATCTCTTCCTGGGTTTCTTTGTCAACAGAAATTTCTTCTTCTCCTGAAGATGAGCTATGTTGCGGCTCAAACATGAATGGACGAATTACACCGTCTGGATTAAGATCCAAGTCGAAAATTGAGTCATTATCGCTCTCCTCGCCGCTGTTTTCTATGTTTTCATCCATCTTAGTCGACATTACAACGCTTGACTATTGCTACGTCATAGCTACGTCATAATAAAGATGGCGGATTTCAATTCCAAAATGTCAATTTTTTCAACGTAATTTCTGGCAACAAATACACTTAAAGCTCAAATGAATTGCCAATTATGAAAAAACAAGTCAGAAACTTTTGATATAGGTAAACTTTTTCTAGACCGTACTTCCCCTTTAACGTGAATTACGTCACTCAGTTGGAGAGCGCTTTAACCAACTACTTCCTGTTTTCCTCTGTAGATCCACTCTCAGTGTCGAGCTTTCCATCACCCCAGACTTCCAGTGGGACGAGAAAGTTCACGGGAACTCGGAGGCGATGTGGATTTTTGTGGAAGATGTGGACAGCGAAATCATCTTACATCACGAGTACTTTTTGTTGAAGAGCAAGTTTGCGACGGATGAGCACACGTTGAAGTTCTTTGTCCCTGTGTTCGAGCCGCTTCCCCCTCAATATTTTATCAGGATTGTATCAGACAAGTGGCTGGGTGAGAATCTTTGGTTCACTCTCGACATCCATTCTCTTTATCAAGCACAGCTTTTATTTTTTAGTGGGGAGAATTCAGATACTGACTTACACCACTGCTCAGTGATATGCCACCAAAACTTTATCAATTGCGCCTGGGAGAAAATCGTTCGTGTGTTTAACTTTTAAACGCGCATCAGACTCTACATGAATGCACAGCAAACGTCAGTGCAGGACACTATTTGCTACCTGATTTAAAGGCCGTTTTTGTTTTCCAGTCCTTCAGAGCAAAGAGCGATCTCGAAAGATATAAGCTGTGGTTTGAATTTCTCTGTCATTCATATATTAAGTTCCTTCGTTGTGGATTAAAAAAATATGTTATAATGTCACTAATGTTCGACATTCATATTCGGTGAATTACAGTGATGAATGCTTGTGTATGCTAATCTTTGATAAAGTATGATCAAGAACGCGAGAGCGAGAAAAAAGGTTATTTTAGAAAAACGTTGAAATCGAACGATATTTATTTATACGTGGATGATTGTTGAATTTGTTCTTTTAGGTTCAGAAACTCAGTTGCCAGTTTCATTCCGTCATTTGATTTTACCTGAGAAGAACCCTCCGCCCACGGAACTTCTAGATTTACAACCTTTGCCAGTTTCTGCGCTGAGAAATCCTGCATTTGAAGGTCTATACAAGGACAAGTTCCCTTACTTCAATCCCATACAGACACAAGGTAAAATATTCAAGGAGTTCATATTGAGAGGATTGGTTTTTCTTGTGGGTTATTTAAAGTAATTTTCAAGTGAATGTCTAAAGTAATCCGGGATTACTTTGTATTTGCTTTACTTCGTTTTGTGATTGGTCCAGAAAACTCGCGCCACTCTCTCAACCAATCAGATTCAAAACTTCAATCAAGCGCGACTTGGTTACTCGTGTTTTCCCGCGCTTCAAGCAATTTGCTTGTTTTCACTTCCAGTTCTCTTTGGCTCCTCGTTATGTTTTCCTTCATATGATTGGCTGTTGAAAAGCGCTCTATTCAAATCCTCCAACGTAAATTGAAGCCACGTCTGATGTCAAAATGCTTTAATTTGAGGCAACCAGTGATTTTAAATAAGTTAAGTTTAACCTGAAGTCAACTATGTTGATGTTAGGACGGCATGAGGTTGCATTAGTAGATGAGCTGTAAAAACGCGTTAAGTCGCCATCCTTCCCTTAAGTTTTTTGTATGAACAGATACCTATCACGGAGTTAAGTGTGGAAATTAGCATTAACGGCAGAGGAAAAGCGTACAGCGCTTTGCGCTTGATTTCCCACGATTGCACCATAGAATTTAGACCGAAGGCCGAGCATGGACGCAGATGGCATTGACTGCTTTCATCGTAGTTTGGACTTCCTTTTTTCTATTTCCTTGATCAGTTTTCAACACCATGTACAACTCAGACGAAAATGTTCTTATCGGAGCACCCACTGGCAGTGGGAAGACTATCTGTGCGGAGTTTGCAGTACTGCGACTTCTTCAGCAAACACCTGACTGCAGATGTGTTTACGTAACTCCATTGCAGTCTCTTGCTGACCAGGTAAGAGCTTTGAAAGAAAGTTAGCGTGAACTGTTCATCCGTCAGTGGTCACATGTGCACCATGTGTGCACTCGGCGTTTGTTGTTTATGTTTTCTGTTATAAAATAAATTTAATTTCATGTTTTGATAACTACCTTTTTCCCCACTATCTGCTCAAATTTCCTGTTTTCCCGCGTTTTGTTGCGGTATTTTGTTTTTCTTGCGCTTTGAGCGGTTGTCTTGTTTTCCGCGCTTGGCTTCGGTTGTCTTCTTTTCCCTCGCTTGGCTTTGCTTGTCTAGTTTTCCCGCACTTTGCTACGTCATCTTGGTTTTCCCGCGCTTGGCTCGGGTTTCTTATTTTCCCGCGCTTGGTCTGTCTACTTGTTTTCCCACGCTTGTCTCCGAATAAGCTTTTTTTCCCGCGCTTGGCCCCAGTCGCGCTTTTTTTCCCCCGCGTTTAGTGTCCGTGTTTTTCGCTCTTGACTCATACGACAGCAAATATTTTCTGGCCCTTTCTTCCCTCCTTGGTTTTCCGCACAGGCTCATTGTCTTCATTATTCGCTTTAGTGATGCAACCAATGATTTAAAACATATAATTCATCCTGAATTCAACTATGTTGATATTAGGACGGCATGAGGTTGCAAATTTCTAATTATATTTAATAGAATATCAAGGGATGTGAAAACATGTTTGGTGAACAAGCCAATAACATACCCTTTTTATTTGTTTGGTCTTGTCTGTAGTGCATTTATGTGGAACAGAGGCTGAAACTGTTCCGTTACGGAACATTTTTGGAATCATTAAAACTTCGCTTCTCTGAGGGGAAGCGATAAATCTGTTTTTCTCTGTGACCTGTTAATGTAGAGATGTCTTGTTTTCCGTCAGGTGTATACGGACTGGCAGAGTAAGTTTGGATTACAGCTGGGGAAGAACGTTGTGAAACTGACGGGAGAAACTAGCGCTGACCTCAAGCTTCTCGCTAAGGTTTGTGTCAAGGGACCGGTCATGTGTTTTCGCCTGGGGAGAGAGGGGTGGGAGGATTTTGTTTTTTCCACGAGAAAATTCACCTGAGCCCTCCCTTAAAGCTCTGTAATATTCTTTTGCCACCCCCCCCCCCCCCACTCTTTGGCAGTTAATTGGCGGTCAATTTTCCATCGTCCTTCCCCCCCCCCCCTCTTTTTACTCTGTTGACGACTTCTGATCCCTCTTCCGCTCCCCCCTGAAAACTCAGTCCCCGTTCCAGCGTAGCAATGACGCCTCCAGTATGTATGCGTGTGAGTAAATGTCGTATGAACTAGCAGAGATTGGTTGACCTCAATCTCTTTTACTTAGGGAAGCTTCTTTCTCAGCAGATAAGGGATTTCTCGGGGTAGAAGAACATAGCTTCTTACGTCAGGTCTATATTTGTAGCGCATAATCAGAGGTCTGTAGATAAGACATTGTGGTTGGATTCGAGTGATGGATTACTTTATTTCTTCAGGGTAACGTGATAGTTAGCACTCCAGAGCAGTGGGATGTGTTGTCCCGACGATGGAAACAAAGAAAAAACGTGCAGAATGTACATTTGTTTATCTTGGATGAAGCTCATTTGATCGGCGGTGAATCGGGGGTAAGAATTACCTTGCGTTAAGTGTTGCTTTAAGTTTTTCCTCTCTGTAAAACCTGTACTTGTATGTTCGTGTTTTTCATGTAAAAGATATCGTGTTTAGTATTATAAACGAACTTACTTTCTTTGATAACATATTTGAGCATGTTCGTGACTTACAGTCGGCTCACCTGTTCGTGTTTCCCTTAAAACTAAACACTGCTAAACACTGCTGATATGTTTTCGCGCGCTAACTTCATACTGATGGTATTTTTGCTTGCGCTTGTCAGCTGAGTGAGTGGGGAGGAGTAGAATGTTTCTTTTCCTCCCCCTCCTTACAAATTGTGTTTTAAGTTGATACGAGCATATGGATTATCGATATTCAGTACTGATGTTAGCATGGTGTGATGTGAAGCATCCGTCAGTTTATCTCAACTAAAAGACAAAAATTTCAATTTCTTGTTTAATGCGCTGTTTGTTTGTGTTTCAGCCTGTGATGGAGGTGATCTGTTCTCGAATGAGATACATCTCGTCACAGATCGAAAGGAATATTCGAGTTGTGGCCCTTAGCTCTTCTCTGGCAAATGCTAAGGTTTGTAAATTAGGATGGCTATCTTGGAGAGATTAAATAACCATGTTCCTTTGCTTTGAATTTTCAAAAGGGAGGTAAATGTAACGTAATAAGACTGACAAAGTTCTGTTCTGCTTGTAACCACAGGATGTTTCTCAGTGGCTTGGAGTCGGGCCGACTGGATTGTTCAACTTCCATCCCAACGTGAGACCTGTTCCATTGGAGCTTCACATACAGGTAACTAAGCCTCTTCAACTTTAGGATTTGTTACAAGGTGCTCAAATGAATAGGGTTCCATTGGCTTGTACACTACACCAAATCTCGAAACGTTGTGTGAAATCCGCGTGTATCTTCTTTATTCATAGTCATCCTCCTATGGCTTTCGTTGTTTCACACACTTATTTTTCTTCCGAAGCGAGGAAAAATTTTTGCGACTTGTTTTTTTTTTCCCAACAAGAATAACCTGTTCAGGCGTTCATTTAAAGAAAAAAAGCAAACCTCAAGTCTTATTTCGCTCAGCGCCACTATCATATCCCATTCACAAGCGACCTGTTTACAGAGTGAACGCTTGGAACATGTCATTGGAATTGCGAAATACAGCTAATTGTATGTTTTGAAGACAGTTCAAACAAAGAAAACTATGTCGAGTTTCGTTAGTCCAACAATTGCCTTATTAAACAAGCTTTATCGTTGAGGAAGGTTGCATCTTGACCTCTTCAGTTTTTGTGTCTTAATAGATCTTAATTCCCCCTCAAGGGGCCAGTCATTTTTATGGCCGTTGGGGGAGGATTTTTTAGGGGAGGGGGGTTACATGGTTTTCAGGGGAAACGGAGGTGGGATCAGTCGTCGCTAACGCAGTTTAAGGGGGAACTCAAGAAAATAAATTGCCGATAAACTGACAATTAGTAGGGGTCATAAGAATATTACAAAGCCTTATGGGGATTCGGGTAAGTTTTAATGTGACATAACCAAAATCTTCTGACCCTCCAACCCAATTCAACTCCGCAGTGAATAATGACCGGTCTCTAAAAACGGAAAAAGGGCTTATTTCCCTGGTGATGACCAAACGCTTGGGCGATAGCCAATATAAATAGTCAAAACTTTCTTTCGACTCAATTTTTATTGCATTTGAATTTTAAAATGTTTGATTTTTGTTTTAGGGTTTTAACATCACTCATACAGCATCTCGTCTGATAGCCATGACTAAACCTACCTATCAGGCCATCGTAAAACATTCTCCCAAGAAACCTGTCATTGTGTTTGTGCCCTCCAGAAGACAAACTAAACTCACTGCCTTGGATCTGCTGACCTTCTCTGGCGCCGAGAATGATGCGGAGAGGTGAGGCTAAAAGCGCTCCAAAGAATCAGGTTTTATTTTGATTGCAAACTAAAATTATTCGATGAATTCGTACAGGTCTGAACCGTTTCAAGGCTACCAAGTCACCCTTTCCTCTTAGAAAAAAAGTATGTTATTCTGTTTAGGTTCCTGCATTGCACCGAGGAAGATCTTCAGCCTTTTGTGAAGCGTTTGAACGACAAGGTGAGGAATTTTCTAATTGCGTTTGCCGTCGAATGGTTATAAAATGACTGAGAATGAAAGGGCAGTTGTGTACCATGGGCGGTGATTTAGGTAGAGTACACGAACTGCTAAAGCATCGTACATAGGGAGGATTGAACCTTTGGATCGTAAATTGTTTTTGTCTGTATTACATTTTTATCGGGGTGGCACTGTTTTGCGAAATTTTTTGGTCACTTTTGATTCGCTCATATAGGAGAGGATTTAACGCTTCATCTCCCATGAGTGACCAAGATAGAATTTCTCCTTACAATATCAACACAATACCACGACGACAAGTGATGAGAATGAAGAAATATATCCATAGTTGATTGTTAATCTTAACTTCTCCGAACTAACATCATACGAATTGTATGGAAGACGGTAAGGAGAATTTCTAATGAGATCTCGGGAGTGAAATTGTTAAATGAGTTTCCCCGTATGTGTTATCTGAGAAAGAAGGGTTAATGTTTTTCCCACGATAGTTATGTTTTGAAAGGAAGGTACGTTGCGTAAATTTGATAACAAAGTAATTCTCTTCTCCAGACTTTAAAGGAGACTGTCAGTTATGGTGTGGCTTATTTACACGAGGGACTGTCTGAAGGTGAAACGAAGATTGTGGAACAGCTGTTCAACTCTGGCGCCATTCAGGTAATCCACAGCTTAGTTCAGGAAATCTCTGTAACACGTGAAAAATTAATGAGGATGGAGGTCTCTTGCTTCCTTCGTTGCCTTGTATTGGTCTCGTCATGTAAAAACCAGTTTTTTTGTGACTGTTTGCGTTACAGGTGGTGGTCGTGTCACGCAATCTTGCCTGGGCGATTGACATGAGTGCTCATCTGGTGATCATCATGGACACACAGTTCTACGAAGGAAAGATCCACACGTAAGTCGAACTACCCTTTGTAGCGCCATTCTGTTCGCTTGTTTTGCAATAAGTCAAGGGAAGAGCCAGGCGAAAAAATACCCTCGAGTCGTAATGAAAACCAAAGATTTTTGTGAGTACTTCTTCGTTTCCGAAAATTTTGAGATGTGTAACTTTTTCTGTTCTCCTACCGAGCGCATTTTGATTGAACTAAAACCATTAGAAAGCATAGGAAACCTCAACGGTTGATCAGACTCAAGGGATAAGAACTCGGCAAGGGTTTCAATGAAAGCAAGTTACCAGCGGTCTTCCGCCGACTGTAAGACCTCTTGCCGCCTGTTGAGCCTGCGAACCCGCGTTTGGGTTTCACCCTACGGCGCAGCTGCCTAATGCACTATCTGCCGCCCATGAGAAAATTTATCGAACCCTTGACTTGGTCTCAACCTCTTTCTTGCCCTGTGTTCGAGAAGACATTAGATTGTATTTGATTGGGTGAAAATTCAGGCGATGTTTCTTATCACAGAAAAGGATCGATGATAAAAATCCTACTATGTTTCGATACAGAATTTAATATATATCCAACTGTGTAAGATATTTTTTTCTTCTTTCTTTCATTATAGTTACGTAGACTATCCAGTCACAGATGTGTTGCAGATGATCGGCCGAGCAAATAGACCACTGTTAGACGACTCCGGAAAAGCTGTAATTCTCTGCCAAGCCTCGAAGAAAGAATACTTCAAAAAATTCCTTTATGAGCCTTTGCCTATAGAGGTGAGTGTTATCCTTTGGAATAGAAATCCGAAAAGAGCGTACGTGTCTTGCTCGCTGGATGTCGATTTTTTACGTATTTGTTTGCACTAGTCTTAGGGCGGTATCTTTGGTTTTGAAATTTGGCGGAAAAACAAACAAACAGACAAACTAACAAGTCAACGAACGGACAAAGTTAGTCTCTGAGCAGGCTTGTCGCTCGAGAGCTGCACCGAGTTACTAGGCGGAGAGTGGGGGATAGGACTGGTAACTAATATCCTCTGACTTGCTCCCCACATCTCCCTCCTCTCCCCTCTCCCTCTTTGCTCGCGGTATTTGAATGTGCTAGCTGTTGGAAATCGCTTCTGGTAACTAAAATATCTATGTAAACTTTTCTGAACGGTTTCAGTCGCATTTGGATCACTGTCTGCACGACCATTTTAATGCTGAGGTTGTAACGAAGACCGTGGAGAACAAACAAGACGCCGTAGATTACCTCACATGGACCTTCCTGTACCGCAGAATGACACAGAATCCAAACTACTACAATTTACAAGGTGAACTGCGCGTTATTTTAATATCTCGGTGGGAAATTTTGACGCATAAGAGCGCTTCTCCTTGAAAGTTAACCAAGCCATTTTGCAAGTTCAATTTTGATTTCATCTGCTAGTTACTTCAATGGAGCGCGTGTTGTGTCCTTTGCGGCTCATTTGGGTATTTTTAGATGATTTATGGAATTTTTTCTCAGCCTGAGACTTCAGTACAATCAAGGACAAAATTACTTTTAGCACTTGGTTAAAACGATATATGTTTTGCTTTTCGTTTCATTGCGCGCACAATATATTTTGAATGGTCCCCTCGGGAAGTATTTTGATTAGGTTTGAAGGTGCTTCTCTGGCCAGTTAGGTGCAATAAAAGAATAACATTAACCAAAAAGGAGCAGTTTTCCTGGATGTGAAAATTGACGTTTAAAACACTGATGACTTTAGATGTGTTATCTATTGCCATCATTAAAGAGGAAAGCCGTACGGGTGCTCTTCCCAAACTCCAGCTGGTTGCATGCTTACACACTTCGCATGTTCATTGCTTTCCTCCACATAGGTGTCACTCATCGTCATCTGTCAGATCATATGTCAGATATGGTGGAAAACACCCTTAACGACCTGGAACAATCCAAGGTACAGTATGCATGTCAACTAATTATTGATACTGAATTATCAACCCTTTGAACTCCCAAAAGTGATTACCTGGTAACTTCTCATTGCCATTCAAAGACGTTATGTCATCTTGCAAACATGTTATGAGAACAGACAAACTTACATGCTAAATAATGTTATTTTGGGGTTAAAACCAAATTCTTCTGAACAATTTACTAGGAATCGTGTGGCAGTGAGCAAGGAGAATTTGTAATTGGATCTTAGGATGAAAGGTTAATAAAAGTGTACGGGTTACATACAGAATAAACAGTAATCTATCGATTCATATTTCTTGTATTCTTCTCTTGTAGTGTTTGTCGATTGAGGATGAAATGGATGTATCGCCGTTAAATCTTGGAATGATCGCAGCTTATTACTACATCAACTACACAACTATTGGTAAGATCTTGTGTGTCAATTGAAAAAGTTAAGATGGTAGTTTTTTCAGATCTTGTCAGTTGACTTCATATTTCGCCATACGATCACAATTTTAGTCGTTGATTGAAGACAAAAAAGGAGTTCTGAGCGAGGAAATAGAAGTATAAGCCAACTATAGATTTCGAAATTGATTTTTTGAAGAAATACGAAGGCAAAACATTGCATAGCAACAAGTCTCACTTAAACTTTCCTATTGTTATTGTTTATTAGATTCGAACCATTTGTCCAACCATCTGTTTCGTTTCACTTTTCAGAACTGTTCAGTGTGTCGTTAAACGCAAAGACAAAGCTGCGAGGCTTGATAGAAATCATCTCATCCGCTTATGAATACGAGAGACTTCCTATCAGGCACCACGAGGACACCACTTTGAAACAGGTGAGAGAGACCTGGAGCCCACCCTCCTGAGAATTCCAACTTGAATGTTTAAATTTTACGATAGTGATCGAGGTCACTGCACGGTGGTGTGGTGATCAAACGATGAAATGGGTACCGACCTACAAACGGACGGTCAGAAAGACTCGACGTGATACATTCAAATGTAGCGATACTCCTAGTCGCTTCGTGGTACAGAAATTGAATTTACCCAAACTTGCTTTCTCTTTGAATTTTGAAAGGATAGCGGTAAAAATGGAACCTGCTGATCAAAATGATTAAAACAAACCCATGCTTTACCTGATTCTGAAGAAAGTCATGTGGATTATTTGGTTTATGATAATGATCAGTGAGGAATAAGGATTAGTATAATAAATTTAACCCTTTAGACCCTAACATCAGTATGCATATTCTTCATACATTTCGTGAGGTGCCGACAAGGAGAATTTTTTTAACAATCACCACCCAATTTAAAGGGGGTAAGTTTCTAACTAAACTGTGGTGCTGCGTCGGTGGGAGAGTATAGCAGGTAATTTAGTGTTAACAACTGAGTTGAAAACGTAAATTGGCCACGGTAAAGGGTAAAAAAAGCTGACGTTTCCAGCGTTAGCCCTTCGTCAGAGCTGGAAACGTCAGCTTTTTTACCCTTTACCGTGGCCAATTTACGTTTTCAACTTAGTTGATACGACTCAATTTAGTTGGTGATCATTTCTTTAATTCTCATGACCTTAATGTGCGATTTAGGGTTAATATTTTAAGGAGAAGTTATATGCTAGTCACTCTTTAGGCGGGTCAAACGGCCAAGCTGTGGCTGCAGTGTGGGTTAGTCTAGAAGGCAAACCTGGCATTGTGGTGAAGTCGCTGTTCTCTTTCTGTTTTAGCTTATGAATCGAGTGCCCCACAAAGTCGCAAATCCCAAGTATAACGATCCTCACGTCAAGACAAACCTGCTCATCCAAGCTCATATGTCCCGGATGCAACTGTCGGCTGAGATGCAGTCAGACACAGAGACCATCCTTGGCAAGGTATGAAGGAGAGTGGTAGAATAATAGAGTGGTAGAGTGAAGGAAGGCTGGCTAGTGAAAGAACCAGCCTAGCGAACGAACGAGTAAACAGGACGATTTACGCGTGAGCTAGCGAAAGATTGGAGGGAACGATCAGGCTTATGAACGAGTCAACAAGAAAACAGTGGTTTTCGCTGTCGATCGAAGACGGGTAAATGAAAGGGTGACTGAACTAGCGAGTTTGCGAGCTCTTGTAGTAGAAGCAAACGGTCTGACGAAAAAGCGGGAGGGCGAGTGAAAGATGAAACTAACTACCGAGCGAATGATCAAATGGAAATAGGAAAGAAAAGAAGAGGTACTAGATCAACGAAACAAACTAAGAAAGAGAGAAAAAAAAACAGTTGGAACCAGCAAGGACTTAAAGAGGTGTAGATATGTGGAGCAAGCGGGTTTCTTTTCCAAGGTTTTTTCAATGCTGAGGATCATATCTAGTGGATATTTTTTGGATTGCACTGCAACTATCTTTCCCTTTTTTTTCAAGGCCATGCGTCTTGTTCAAGCCTGTGTAGATGTGTTGAGCAGCAACGGATGGCTGTCACCTGCGCTGGCCGCCATGGAGCTTGCCCAAATGGTAAGTGGGCGCATGCGCACTCTCAAAAGAGAGAGGGGAAGGATTTTGAAGGTCTTGAGAGCTCTTTTCGCTTGATTGTTGTTGAATGAAAAACCAAAGTAATTACTACGCCTTATTAGAACAAACTAAAATGTCACAAGGAGCCAATGAAAGCTCACCATGAAAACGAGCAAAAATGAATGGAGCGCGGGAAAACGTGGATGACCAAGTTGCGAATGGTTTTAGTTTCGCATCCGATTGGTTTTTGAGTATTTGATTGATTGTGGTAAAACCAAAACCAAAGTAATCTCAACGGCCAATCAAATGAAAAGAAAATACCTTTTTGGAGGCAATGGGAAGTCAGAGTGATAACAACCAAACTGCCTAAAGCGCGGGAAAACGCGGGCGACCAAGTCGTGTATGGTTTTATTTTTGCATCTGATTGGTTGAGAGCGGAGTGCGAAATTCTTTGGTCATATCACAGTGCGAAGTGCTGCAAAACCAATGTAATCAAGGAATATTTTCGACACCCAAATAAAGATTGGTTTGAAGGGTGGATTGAGAGTTCAAAACCAATCACCAAGCGAAGTAAGGCGAGCTAATGCAATTTTGGAATACCGTGGTGCAGAAATTTTTGTTTGTAGTAGTATTCACAGTTCACATTCTCATTTTCTCTATGTAGGTTACTCAGGCCATGTGGAGCAAAGATTCTTACCTGAAGCAAATTCCTCATTTCAGCTCGGAGATAATCAAACGATGCGTTGATAAGGTACTTTAAAGGCAATTCACATTAGGGTTTACGCCCATTTGCTCAAGGATGCATTGTAATACTTACAGAGTATAACATTCACTTATCACGAAGTGGCCTTGAATTGACTTGTTAAATACGAGAAACACTGTGATATTTAAAGCACAATAAAATAAATTTTCATGCGGTTTACATGGCTGTGGTCTAGCAGCGCTCGCCCTGGCGCCTAATTTTTGCTCATGGGCGACTAAGGAATTTTAGTTTTTCCATGAAAAGTATATGCTGGGCACCCTGGATTTCACAGTTTCAGAGCTCTGGGCTCCCTTCAATATTTCTGAAAGCACAACCTTGGTATATTTCAGGGAGTGGAATCAGTGTTTGACATCATGGATTTGGAAGACGACGAAAGAAACAAACTTTTGAAACTTGATGACAGCCAGATGCAGGTAAGAAACTGCTATGTTTAGTTAAACTTAACATGTGTTGCTACGTCTCTGTCTGTCGGTCTTCTGGTCAGTCGGTCGTTCGTTTTGTTCGTCTGTCGGTCGGTCTGTCTGTCTGTCTGAGTCTGTCTTGTCTGAGTCTGTCTGTCTGCCTCTCTTTCCCAACTGTTCTACCTTTCTTTCATTGCAGGATGTTGCCAGATTTTGTAACCGATATCCAAACATTGAATTGTCCTTTGAGGTACAGGATAAGGACGATATCTCTGCGTAAGTTCAAACTGCATCCTCCACTATTTCGCTGTTTCTACTAGAGTTTTGAATATCGTTATTATGTGTGTTAGTCAAGAAGTCTGTTGCACCGAGTATGTGAATTATTGTGTAGATGACAATGATAGCGCGCTTTATTGCAATTGTGGTTCCCTGGACTAAACATGATATTCCTTGGTTCCTTATTTGAAGGGGCTCTCCTGTGAATGTTGTGGTGGACCTTGATCGTGAGGATGAGCAGCCAGGACCGGTGATAGCACCGTTCTTTCCGGGAAAGAGAGAAGAGGGCTGGTGGTTAGTTATCGGGGACACCAAGAACAATGGGTAAGAAGACGGCACTTTTAGATTCAGATTTTAATCACAAAGCAAACCAAGATGAATTAGAGATATTTATTATATATTTCATATGGTTTTCGCACTCAAATTGGTCGATAGGTGTGTTAAGATAATCGTTTGTAAACTCAGTCGTTAAGTCTTAGACTTAAACACTTGTTCTGTATTTTTTTAAAATATTCTGTAAAAGCTATAGGTCTCTTGTCGATAGTTTTACAAACCACCAGAGGCTTCTCAGATTTGGATGATTTTCTCAAATTCTCCCTTCTTCCGGTGTTGAGATGAGGCTATGTGACAAAGATCCTCTAGTGCTTAACAGCGATACCAGCCAGCCTTCAGATCGTCACCAAGTTATTATGCCGACGCATGTACTTTAAGCCGTTTAGAAGTTTGAGAAGTTTATTAATTATTTTTGTTAATATTTTAAAAGAGTTACTTTGTAGCTCATTGTTACCGTATCGGAGCGCAAAATCAGAAATCTATTCCTTGGGGGAATTATGTTGTTGTTGCAAGTCCACGAGCAGATAAACGACATTTTACTCTATTCGAAGACTGAGCCAAAACTTGCCACCATCTTTTTTTTAATATCAATACATACCTTATTTCACTGATCTCACCCCATAGGGGCTTTTCAGGAACAATAAAGTACAATAAAAAAAATTGTATATAAAGGAATATTAATAGCGAAGAGAATGTTTTTTTTCAGCCTAGGTAGATAAAAACCTATTTAACAGAAAAGCCGTAAGTTGTCACTTCTATTTTTTTTTTCAGTAGTAAGAAAGTTTACATATGACAAAAAAAAATCGCGAATCGTAACTAAGCTCTTTTGAAACGTTTCTTTTTCTTTCAGATTAATTTCGATCAAGCGTCTTACGCTTCAACAGAAGGCCAAGGTTAAACTGGACTTTGTGGCTCCGAGTTCGCCTGGGAACTACTCTTATACTCTGTTTTTTATGTGTGACACATACATGGGGTGTGATCAAGAATATCCGTTCAAGATTAACGTCGGAGAAGCCGCCAGTGGAGACGAGGAAAGCGGCGACAGCGAAGCTGATGATTAAGAGATTGTTTGATACAAAAACTGAACAAATTCTGTCATCGTTATCGCGTGACTGCAACGGAACACTTAAGTCAGGCAATCCCGTCTTTCAGATTGTGGCGGCAGATACCTACTCCCAATGTACATAATAGTTGAGCGACTACGGTTTAAAAGAAACCTTAGCAAGTGTTTTTTTTTCTTTTTTTTAACAGTAAGTCTTTCTTGAAAACCTCAGTATGCAATAAATTAAAGCGATGTGGAAATAGTTCGAAAGAAGTTAAACGATTCTTGGAGAGTTATTTTAAACTTCTTTCTCCATAAGTGCCATTAAATATTGTAGGACATTGTAAACTTGTTCGAAAATGAATAGAGCTCGTGTAAAAGACATTTTTCATTAATTAGACTGACTGTGTATACAAACGTACCCATAAATGAAATACCGGATGTCTTATTAATGCAACCCTGCATTTGGATCAGCCTTAAACATAACGTAAAGCACTGAAAAGATTTCCTTTTAAGATATATTTGTGATCGCTTTACGCATTAGTACTTTTCAATGTAAAACCCCCAAGGGTAGACTGTTAGGTAAAACTTGTACAGTTTCTCTTGCAATCCTTGTTGGCAAGTCATTTACATAAGTAAGTTTTGTTCACCTCCTTTATACTGGCTCTATTAACATTGTCATCTATTAAATGTTCGTCATACAAGATCTTGCTGGATCTTGGAGACATGTTTGAGGCTTGACAATGTTGCCTCGGTCTCTGGTAAACTTATTTTCCGATTGTGGAATTTGTCCGGCGTACAAAAGGGAAAAATATCGCAATTTTATAATCAGTTTAAGCTGATAAGTTGAGCTCTTTCGAGAGTAACAAAAGCCCTTACTTCAGTAAATGACGAATACGATCAGTCGCCAACAGCTGAGCTTTTCAACATTCACTTCGACAATTTAATTTTACCTGAAGGGACCTTTAATAAGCAGTCTGACAAGTGTTTCAGTTGCCCGTCGACAGGGCAAAATATTCTATTTTTAGAAATTAATAACTTTTCCAAAATCATTACATTACATCTCTCGAAGTGTTTTAACGTAGATGTCTGGGAGAGATAACAACTAAAACTGCATTATGTTCGCCTTTTTTAAAGATTGCTTTCTTGGTCTATTTTGGGGCTCAAATTTAATATGAGAATTACCTTCGAAAGCGGACGTAAACTATCTTCCTCTATTTATCTTTAAAAGTCTTAGACGACGATGTTATTTTTGAGACTTCCGTGCGGCGAAGCACATAGACACGCACAAAAAATGTCGACTTTTCCGATGATAAAATCTTAAGTAACTGACTGAGGATCAAGACATCATTTCAATGACTTTCCAAACCAAACGCGAAGTATATCTTTCATTCTTTTTTTCTCCCCTGATATTGTTCGCCGATAATTAGCTAGGTTAGTTTTTGTGCCTTGCCATACTTTGACGTTACGATTAAATGCCTAACTTTTCCAGCTGTTTGGAGAATGAAAGGTTTCGCACTTTAAAAGACAAAAAAAGTCCACCACGAATGCAGCATTTTATAATTACTCTCTCTAAATCTCAGTGACGTTATCCTCAACTTTAAGACAGAGATTACAGTGCCTGTCATGAATAGCTAAAGGTATTTAAATTTCTTTCATTTAAAGATAATATTTCTTCCGAGGCCTTTATAAAGTACATCACGGGGCAGTGATTTTTTCACCCAGTAAAGTGCATTCACGTAGGTGTCAAACTGCGCCACTAACTTGAAAGCTTTTCAAATGACTATGTTTAACAGCTTCATATTTCTACTTTGTCGAGAATGTCAGACTCTTACCCGCCAGTCTTAAAACCTCCCTTGGCCGCTGCAATGTTTGCTTCATCGGCAAAGAAAAAATTCTGTCAAATGCGTGAAGGCTGTTATCTGAATGAAGGTTCTTTTAAATCGGAAATGGAATTTATTTCCAAATGACCTTTCTATTGTTTTGTCAGTACTTTGGCTTTTATTCAATGACAACCGACGTAAGTTGTTAAATTTACATATGAAGTCGAAGTAGTAGCGTATTTTTTTTTAGCATTTAATCTGAAATCAGTTCCGTAATATCTTCTCGTAACTTTGTGTAGGTGCGGTCAATTATCTCTTTCTATACTATGGTAGGGTTTTTTTTCTCGACAGAAGAAACCAAAGTTTTGAGATTTATTTTGTCAGCCGAAAGTAACAAGCATCAAAAGGCGTTCGAAATTACTTCAGTGATAGCGTGTGAAATCACTGCTTCAACATATGTGCATATTAAACACCGTAACTAAAGTTTTCTCGGCAAGTTTTTGAATTGTTCCTTGGGAGGAAACTTTGTCTTTATTATAAAACTCGACCCAAGAAGGAAACTGCAAAAGTTTCCTTTTTTTTCACGAAGAAGAGGTAAGTCCTAGATTTATTTTTCCATTCTGAATAAGCTTTCTCTTCTTTCACTGAAATATTTTCCGTTAAGATAACCTTTTCTTTCATTTATTTGTAATGTTATGTTTCATGTTTGGCTATGCTAAATGAGAAATAGGGATTCAGAAATGTGATGGAAAAATTGGAACATCATGAAAAAAAAGACACGAAAACCAGGCGTAAAGGAAACAAGGCTGGGCTGGGTTCTCACCAAAATTTTGTTGCAAAAAAATGCAATTGAGACAAATTTCCAAATATTTATTTTCCGTCTGCAGATTTCAAAGAAACCGGACTACTTGGGGAGTAATAAAGTAAACAGAGTGTTGCATGTTAATTATGAAAATTGTCGGTTGGCTGAAATGAAACATATCCAATCGTGATTTCGCAATTTCAGGTTTTTTCATGAATTAGTCCTAATTCATTCGATTTTTTTGTTAAAACTGTCGGTGGTTTCACTCTAAAATCTAACGAGGAGATCAAACTGAAATTGATTGAGAGGTCGACAGAAGCGCTTGAAGATAAAGAAACTAAAAGACATGAGAGCTTAAAGTTTTAGGTATCAGTTTAAATCAGAATCGGAGATACATCTTTGACAAAAATTTACAGCTGAATGACCGAAACAGAATGCAAGAAATCCGTAAGAACAGTCCGACAGCTTTAAATTCAGTTCATGTTTTTCAATTAAACACTTTCTCCGTGCACAACAACAACAGTCGACTTCAAGTAGATTATGAAGAATTCTGCCCAAGTATTAGCTTAATCTTTGAAGAAACTTGATTCACGAAGGAGTCGATGTAAGTTTAGTCAGGAAATATACTGACATCTACTGAGTGAATTTGATTATGGAGAGAAGGGTAAAAGATCTGAAAATTGGAGATATCAACTCGACTTTCCTACTGATTGAATTTTCCAGCATAAGAAATCTAATGCACAACATCATTACGAAGCGTAATTATATGCCGAATGTTTATTTTAAAGCTAAACTGATGCTCGCCACAAAGGACGACTGATTAGTCCAACAAAAATTGGTTCCAAAGATAAAATATTTAATTTCCTCGAAGGATGAATTCCGAGCCAGTTCATAACACTTGGCTTTATTCCACTAGGGCCGCTCAAAAAATAATTCATTTTAAATCGTATCCACGCTTTTGAGGATGAAATACTCCCCATTTCCATCTGCCATAATGTTTACATTTAATTTGGAGAACATAAAAGGCTTATTTGACTTAAAAAGATTTCAACCTTGCTTCAAGCAATCAGCACCAACTTATTGAAACATTTGCAATTAAATCCGGTCAATTTATCACTTGGCAGAACTCAATATTTACCATCATCAATCACTTTTATAAAAGCTATCAACAGTTTAGGATTCAAAGCTATTGTTACTCTTCAAAGCCTCTACGAAAAAGAAACATTTAAAGCTCCTTTTCTCTTTAGGAAATCAGTATTTTAAAAAAAAATTTACTGTCGATAACAGCGGGGGCATTGCAAAACCATGTTTCAGAGGTTGTCGCCATGTTTCGACAGGCAGATGTAATACTTAGTTGTTCATTAACACGATCGATCGCCCTTGAACCGCGCAAAGAGCAGGTAACGAGAGTATTGTCTGGTGAAACTAAGTTATCTTCACATTTTTCAAACTTTCTATGAGATATGGCACCTCCCAGGGCACTCCCACGAAATACCCCTAACAGAAATTATTCATGTTTGCCTTTTCCGTTTTCATAATTCAACCGATGACAAAAATTACTCCATCTCTCAGCTACTACGCGCGCTGTGATTGGTTACGTAAGCGAGTTGTATTTACCCGGCGGCTTGCAATCTATACAAAATTGACCTTGTCGCCGAAATCTCGCGTTTCTTTGCCAATTATTCTTAATCATTTGCTTCCTGTTAATTGTTCCAAAGAGTGCTAACAAATGAACAGCGATTTCGAATCGAGCCGTTCTTCTTTTAAAGTGCGCTAGTCATTTTATAGCCATTCCGTTGGAATAGCAATCGTTTCCAAAAATCTTCATGTACACAGGAGATATCAGAACATCTTACAAACCTCATCTTCTCGGTCTGTAAGGTAAGCTATAGAGCCTTGCCATTTCGTCTTCGATTTTTGACACTCCATCCATCACCGCGATATCATAGAAGGAGGTTTGCCATATTTTTAGGCTCTATTCTTTTCTATTCCTTTTCCCGATAGCTTTTAAAGAGATTGATAACGTGCATTATTAGGCCGATGAAACATTTCTATGGGCAACTCCCATGACACTCCCACGAAATGCCCCCTACCGAAATTATTTGTTAGCTTTTACGTTTTCAAAACTCAAATAATGCCAAAAGTAACTTTGATCTTTCTGCTACTACGCGCGCTGTGATTGGTTAATATGGTGGGTGGTATTCTTCCGGTGGCTCGCAAAAGATACAAAGTTGACATTATCGCCGAAATCTCGCATTTCAGCGCAATGCTTTCCAATTGCTTGTTTTCTCTCAATTGTATTAAAAAGTGTTAGCAGATGAACAACGATTTAGGATTGATCTGCTCTCCTTTCGAAGTGTTTCATGAAGCCATCTCGTTTGAACAAAATCGTTTGCTAAAATCTTCATATACACAGGAGATATTTCATAAAAAAATCAAGCTAACCTCGTCTTCTCATTCATTAAGGTAAACTATAGATAGTGGCCATTTCCCTTACGACTTCCGGTGCAGTCTGGTTCATTGTGATATCTTAGTAGGAGGATGTTTTTTTTTTTAGCCAGTAGCTTTTAAGAAACTTTTGTGCGCACCGCAAACACTTAGATGTTTATCGACGTGAAATGGAAACGGGTAGATTTAAACCACTGTAACAAATTTTTAAAGGCGTAAGGTTGTAGGCATTGTGAGTATCGCCTGAAATTGGAATTTTTTTTTCTCATTTTTTCATCACTCTGCATTGAAAATGTTGTTTTATCCAATTAGACACCTCCTCTGACACTCCCACGAAATGCCCCTTATTGAATTTTCTTTTGATTCAACCAATAACAGAGATGAGTTTAATCTCCCCGCTGCGACGTGGACTGTGATTGGCTAATTTGGCGGGTTATCTTCTCCAGCGCTTCCCGAAATAAGCTATGTTGCCAAATTCTCTCGTTTTATCGCCAATTGTTCATAATCATTTGCTTCCTTTTAATTGTTTTTAAGGGTGCTAATGAATGAATAACAATTGACTCTTTCTCCTTTCGAAGTGCGTCAGTCATTTAAAGCCATTCCATTTGAATAGAAATCGTTTTTCAAAATATTTACCCGCGAACAGAGAAAATACAACACAAGAAAACCTT